TCAGATCGGCATCCAAGCCGTAGATAACGTGTGAAGTGTTGGGGTCATGGGTAGGCATAGAGCGCTGTGAGCGGATAAAGTTCATAATCTTGTGTTCTCCCTCACCAGGCACAGATGCATCGGAGATGATGACTTTCATGTCCTTCCACGAGGGATCGGTTGTGAACTTGTAGGCACACCAGTATTGCAGACTCTCGGCAAGGAGATGCATGAAAGGGGTACCAGGCGTGATTGCATTCGAGTCCCAGGTCTTTTCGATGACCTCTTCGAGACTGGAAATGTCCTCGCCACGACTTGCTTTCTGCGAGTTGAGCATCTTTTGAAATTCAGCACGCTCGTCGTCCTTTTCCTTTGCCTCTTTTGCGGCGCGGAAACGACGCGAACGCTGCTGGTTCATCTTGGCACGAGGCGCAACGCCATCGACTGCCATGTAGAGAAGCTTACGGGGACGGACCATGCCGACACAGCGATCAGTGTACTCGAAGATGGCCATCATCATGTCGGCCTCAGTCTTGGGCGCAGGCTTATCTTCAGGGTGCGAGCAAGGATGGACAATGCCGTTCATGTCGAGGTATAGGTTGTCGAACTCTTCGCCGTTGGGATTGGGGCCGGTGCGGTCTACTGGGATGACATGGTCGCCGACCTTTCTAGGCAGCTCCTCTTGCACAGTGGATACGATCTTGGGGTATTTCTGGCTGAGCCAGCGGAACATGGCTGGGACACCCATGATGGCGGTGGTAGGGGAAAGTAGCTGGGAAGGGTATTATTGCGAAAGCGAGAGCGCGCGTACTGAGATGTGAATATCTGAGTAGTACTGCGATGATAGTGAGAGATCAAAAGGTGGCGACGAAGCTCCTGTGGATGATGCGCCGATGAAAAGAAAGAGACTGCCCCAGGGCGATGAAAGTGCTGTCCTCCTCTTGTCACTCTGGATAATATCCAGGAGCACGTTATTTGAACCCTTTTCGCGCGACACCGAGTTGCGCACGAGATGGATGGGTGATGGAGAGTGAGGGGGGGGAGAAGAGGTGGTTGAAGTAATGGACGACGCGCTCTTCGCAGACAGTCGCGGCCGAGACGTGGAGTCGCGGTTTTGCCGACGCCGACCCGCCGACGTGAGCAGGGGTAAGAGGCTGAGCAGGGGTAGTGGGGGCTCGTGCGCTAAATTATACGCGGAGCATGTCGTGTCTCCACGTAGTGAATTATACAAGAGTCGTACGTATGGCTGAATGAATTGTCACACATTGCTGGCGCACCACAACCAATTCCTGCCATGAATTCATGATCCTCTATAAAGTCATAGTCCCCTACAACTCCCAAGATGATGCGAGTTCTCGAGGCCAATGCGCCTCCCAAGCAGAGGGCCACCGACACCATCAGCACGCTTAGTGGGAGGTTGACGAGCGCAACCCTCCTCGAAGACCGTCGCGCGGCCATCCTCGGCCTCCGGAGCTTCGCCAAAGAGTACCCGGCCTCGGTCGCATCCGACGCGCTCAAGGGACTCATCGAGGCCCTGACCAAAGACAGCGAGGATGTCGACACGCTCAAGGTGGTGCTCGAGACGCTGCTCATGCTCTTCCACCCCGACGAGCACAGCCCCGAGGCCTCGCCAGAACTCGAGTTTCTGCTGGCAGACCAGTTCTCACAGGTACGTCCTGTGCTTGTATCAACAACCTAGTGCTGAGCTTATGGTAGCGCCAAGACAACATAACGCTCCTCCTCGACCTCCTCGACACGCCCGACTTCTACTCCCGCCTCTACTCTCTGCAGCTCATCCGCGCCATCTCCCTGGCCCGGCCCCAACGAACACAGGAATGCGTCCTCACAGCCCCCGGCGGCATCGAACGCTTGGTAGCCACCCTCGACGACCCCCGCGATGCCATCCGTAACGAAGCCCTCGTCGTCCTCACCGACCTGTCCCGCACCTCGACCGAGCTCCAAAAGCTCTTCGTCTTCGAGGATGCCTTTACCAAAGTCTTCAACATGATCCACCAAGACGGCGGGCTCACACAGGGCGGCGTCGTGGTCCAGGATTGTCTGAGTCTGCTGGCCATCCTTGTGCGAAACAACGTGTCCAACCAGACCAACATAAGGGAAATGGGCCACGTCGCCCGCTTTGCCGCGCTTCTGCCAGGAGGCAAGAAGCCCAAAAAGGCACGCCCAGGTGCAGAAGACGAGGATGAATGGGTCAGCCCACAAAGCGACAAGAACATCTGGGGGCTGCTGGCCATCATGCGCATGTTCCTCGTCAAGGGCAGTGCGGGCACACTACAGAACCAGAATGTCTTCCAACAACATGGTCTCGTCCGACAACTTTTGAACTTCACTTTCGACCCTGCAACCGCCATGCCCATCAAGATCGAGGCTCTCAACACCCTCGCCGATCTCATCAGAGGCAATGCTCGGCTGCAAGAAGGGTTCGCTGGAGAGCAGGTCAGGCCCATCGTTGAACCCGCTACTAATGGCGCTACTTCTCCCAACGGCGTAGCCTCCGTATACGTTATCGAAGCCCTCCTCAATCTTGTCCTGTCCCCAGCACCCAATGAGCTGTTTGATTTGCGCAATGCAGGCTGCGAGTGTATCAAGTCCTACTTCTACAACCACGTACAGATAAAATCGCATTTCCTCAACCGCGCCATCGATGGCCACGAGGGCGGCGACGAAACGGCGAATGCCTTGACAATCCTGATGGCCGGACCACAAGTACCGCCCACGGGCGACCCATACAGGATCTGGTTTGCAGCAAATCTCATCTATCATCTCATCTTCGATGACGACCAAGCGAAAAACACGCTCATGCAGGTCAAAGAGGGTGATGCAGAGAGTGGAGAGGAGGTCGTCACGTGTATACAAACACTCACAGCGAATCTTATCGCTAGTCTGCAACTCGGCGAGGACGAACGCATATCAGTAGCCTACCTCATGCTCCTGCTCGGCTGGCTCTTTGAAGATGCAGCCGCTGTAGACGACTTTTTGGGTGAAGCGAGTAGTTTGCAGAGTCTGGTGCAGGCCGTTCTCACACCTGGAGAAGATCGCGTCATGATACGTGGGCTGTGTGCGGCGCTCCTGGGAGTTGTATACGAGTTCTCAACTAGAGACTCCCCTGTGCCACGGCGCGAACTCCAACCGGTACTCATGTCGAAGCTCGGCCGCGACAAGTATCTTGATGCTATTACCGAATCACGGCGGCACCCGCTCGTGCGTGACTTTGAAGTCTTGCCGAAGACTGGGGGTGGAGGGGGAAGTCTGCCAGATATCTTCTTCGACGAGGCTTTTGTGGACTTTTTGAAAGACAATTTCAGCAGGCTTTCGAGAGCGATTGACCGTAACCCGAATATTGAACAGCATCAAAGTCACGACGGTGTCGATCGAGATGTAGTCGATGCGCTTCGTGGGGAGAGTAATGAGAAAGAGCAAACCATCCAAGAACTACACGCGCAGCTCATGACACTCGAGCAGAAGATTGATCAAGAACAAGCTGAACATCGCAAGACTCAGCAGTCCGCCGAGGAGCAACGCAGTACGCTGAAACGTATCAACGATAAGTTGCACGACGATATCGAAAAGGAAGCCGCGAAGAAGGATCGTGAGCATAGGCAAGCGATGCTAGAAATGGAAAATAAGTACAATCTCCAGATTGTCGCTTTGAACAACAAAGTACAACAAACGAGCAAAGACGCGAATCTTGCTGTCGCGAAGGTCAGGCAAGAGTACGAAGAGCAGCTTCACGACGCACATCGAACGCGTACCGAGTTGGAGCGGAGGTTGAGTGCAAGCGAGAAGGCGAGACAGGAGGCTGTCGAGAATGTGAAGGGCTTGCAAGAGACACTATTACAAACACGGGCTGAGGTATCGACCATTAGCGAAACTCTACGCAACGCACAGAGTCATGTGCAAAACAGCGAGGCGCAGCTGCAATTGCTGAATGAGGAGAAGGAGCGGGTTGTCAAGGAAAAGGAAAGCCAGATCAAGCAGTTGGAAGAAGAGATGGAAAGGCGACTCTCAGAAAAGGATGCGCGACTCTTGGAAGTAGAGGCCGAACACGAAACCGCGATCCAACAAGCCGGATCGGAAAAGAGTGGCTTGCAATCTGGCTTGGAGAAGCTGAAGAAGGAGAATCAAGACCTCAAGACGAAAGCGCAGGATGCGACGTGGAAAGTTAAAGAGGCAGAAGAGAAACTGCGGAAAGCTGAGGCAACTGCCAAGTCGACGGAAGATAAATTGCGCAAGGCGGAAGCTAGCGCCAAGGCTGCTGCTGCTGCTGCTACCTCTCAAAAGGGTGGCAGCGCCGGCGCCAACAACAACAAAGACAAAGAGATCAAGGAGCTGAAGGACAAATTGAAGAAGGCGGAGGAAGCGGAGAAGGAGAAGGCGACTGAGTTGGAGGATTTGATCATGGTGCTGAGTGATTTGGAGGAGAAGAGGTCAAAGGATAAGGTATGTTCTTCTCTTTTCATTTCATGGTACCCATTGCTGCGAAAGTCGTGTAGTGTGGATGATGGTTGGCTAACGAACGCCAAAACAGGAACGGCTCAAAGCTCTTGGAGAGGAAGTGTCGGATGATGAGGAGGAGGATGACGACGATGAGGGTGATGATGATGATGATGATGATGACGACGACGATGAGGATGAAGAGAGTGATGAAGATGAGGAAGGGGAGGACGATGAGGAAAAGGAGAAGAAGAAATAGGCTTGATCGATATGAAATCCAAGAGACATCTGCTCTCCATGATCAATGATGTTTCTTGGTTTTGCGATAAATCCTATGTGAGGAGCATATGGCCTGAGCAGAAACAGCTATCGAATGTGAAACATGAATATCATGTCACTTGCGATTCCAAGATTGCATCGTCACTAGCTGAGTAGAGTGTAGGGCTGTAGCTACAGCGTTGGAAAAAGGCCGAAGGAAAATGTTTTTGAAGGCTATAAAAAAGGTCAGAGTGTTGAGTATTCTCGAGATGCTCTTTTATGCTATGGCTCTTCTATCGTCAAGCCTATCTTTATTGCCCGTCTGGCGGTAGCTCCAGTGCCACCCCCAACGCTGCATAAACGGCTTGGATGTATGACATGGTCCGAATACCACCCAACAGTGTCGCATCCATTTTATTCATCATATAAGTCACTGTCAGTTTCCGCTCTACGTCCATAATCACCACACTTCCACCCCAGCCTCCCCATGTGCAGATCCGACCCTCGGGCAGCCACTCCATAATGGTGTCCTTTCCTGTCAATGCAAAGCCCATGCCCCATCTGATTTTCTGGCCGACGACAAGGTCGCGTCCGTTTTGCTGCTCCTGGAAGATGAGGTCGATCGTCGCAGGCGAGAGGAATTTCCGGCCGCCGTTGATGCCTCCAAGCGAAACGGTCGACATGATGCGCCCGACGCCCGCAGCGTTGGAATGTCCGTTCGATGCTGCGAGTTCCGCAGACCGCCAGAGGGGCTTGTTGGCTTCGGTTGCATCCATGGACGGGTTTCCTAACGAATTCGAAGGATCAGTGTAGTCAACCTCCTTGTTCGGCAAGTGCCATGGAGGCGGCGCACTGATGGTAGCAACACGGCTCAAGTCTGCTTCCTTGACACCGTACTGAAAATCTGCGCTTAGAGGCTGTACAAGTTCTTCCTGGACAAATTCTCCAAGAGGTTTGCCTGTGACGCGAGATACGAGGGCGCCGATGAGAGGACCCATGGTCAATCCGTGATATCCAGACGCACTGCCTGGTTTGAACATTGGCGCCTGTTGCTCAAGCATCTTTACTGCCTTGTCCAAATTGCAGATGTCCTGTACTGCAACCTGATTTTAGGTGTACAAAGTCAGTGTATATCTCATATGCAGTTCGTTCATGGACATTTTTTTTACCTTCTGCGCCCAGCTGCACAGGCCAGACGCATGGCTCAGCAAATGTCGTACTTCGATATCTTGTTTTCCGTTCACGGCGAACTCGGGCCAGTACTTTGCGACCTTTTCGAACGGGTCTAGAAGGCCTCGTTCGATGCAAATAAGTGCTGCGAGACTGGTAATGGTTTTCGTAGTCGACCAGACGTTGACGAGGGTGTCTTCTCGCCATTCGCGCGTGCGCGTCTCATCTACGTAGCCACCCCAGATATTAACAACGTCCTTGCCGTCAATATTGACGAAGATGGAAGCGCCTATATCCTTGCCGTCTGTGATGCTTGCCTGTAGCAGCAGTGCCACCGCCTTGAAGCGGTCTTCGTAGGAGCCGTGAATGGTTGCCATTGTGCAGACTTTGTATGCGTTCTGAGATTGTGTGTTTATAATAGCCAGAAGACAGCTGAAATAATCAGCGATATGACCTATCTTTTTATAAATATCAACATATCTATGTCTTAGAGTGAACATCCATCATGCATCATACAAACAGATACACTCCGTATTCGGCCCGTATTCGGTGTTCGGAGATGTCATACACTCCGCAACCGTGTGCCACTGTAGCCATATGAAGAGCTTTGGTAAAGAACTGTTAGCGAGTAATCACCAGATTGAGTTGCTTACTTGATACCCACATATCTTTCAGTCTTAGTCTTGTTTAGGAAAGTAACTCCATGCCAAGCAAAAGCTGCGGGACTAGGCGCATCTGCTCACGTTACCTAGATCCAGTGGCGGCACATGCGGAACCTGATTGGGAATTGAAACTGGCTTGTGGTCCAAGAAGCGCTGTCTCGGCGATGCAATGTTCGCCGCACCGAAGAGAATGCATGTCTGCCACATCACAGTGGATTCACTTGGTTGGCTGAGCTCTGCGACGCTGGCTTACCAACTATGTGCCATACAACACAATCCTGCCCGAGCCGAGATAATGCATCACAAAACGTTTTGTTCCGGCCATGGTAAAGTTTCCGACGGACCAGCAAATGAGCTTGGAATTGTCTTATAAAAGCTACGGTCCTGACGACGACATCGACAACAATATCGACGCCGTAGCTCTGGGAATTTCTTTTTGTGTGTAAGATCAAAACTCTCAGCGTTTGACAAATTCCGCACCCCAGCATGTCTATTCACGGTTCCAGCATCACCAGCACGTTCGATCTAGACAAAGCGATTCCTTCGGGGATCAATCAGACTCCACCAATGGGCGAGTCGTATGAAAAGGCCAACTCCGGTCCCATCTTAGCATCGACTTCGAGTAAGGCTCCAGATGGTGGTCTGAACGCGTGGCTAGTAGTTTTTGGTGCCTGGTGTACCTCCTTCTGCAGTTTCGGATGGAACAACAGTATGTTCATTTAATTACACTGCTCTCTTACTTCTGGACGCTGACAACGCGTCTCTTCTAGGCATTGGCACTTTTCAGCAGTACTATCAAACAGAGCTTCTGCAGCAATATTCCCCAGGAACAATATCCTGGATCCCCTCCTTGCAGATATTCTTCATGTTCGCTATGGTAAGTATGCATATCCATGTGGACTACCCACAGGATTCTGATCGTCATTTAGGGTCCAATCGTTGGCAGAATTTACGATTGTTATGGGCCACGATACCTGATATTCGTTGGGTCCTTCCTCCATGTCTTCGGATTGATGATGACGTCCATCTCTACAGAGTACTATCAAATCATGCTTTCTCAAAGCGTCTGTAGTGCTATCGGCGTTTCACTTATATTCCAGCCAGGTCAGTATCTCAATTTGTAGAAATCATGATGAGAGTTACGATTTCTAACCCCACTGAAGCTCTCAATGCCATCGCCGGCTGGTTCGATAAGAAACGCGGTATAGCCTATGGTATCCTTTCCACTGGGTCTAGCGTCGGCGGCATCGTCTTTCCCATCATGACTAGTCGCCTCATTCCGTCCGTGGGTTTTGGATGGACATTACGTATTGCTGCTTTTCTGATCTTCTTCCTGCTTGTTCTCGCTTGCTTGACTGTCAAGTCTCGATTTCCACCCAATCGGCAGGTTGTCACCAGAAAACAACTTGTCGCGCCATTTCATGAGCCAGAATTCCTTGCTCTCAACGCCGGACTGTGTTTATTCACATTCGGCATGTTTATTCCCATCAATTACTTTGTGGTGGAGGCTACTTCCAATGGGATGAGCCGAGGTCTAGCACAATACCTCGTTGCCATGTTCAACGCTGCTAGGTACGCGCCCCCAATTTTCATTCTCTTCCTGCAAGCATTGGCTGATGGTGGCTTTGCACACAGTCTCTTTGGTCGTCTCCTCACCGGATATCTAGCCGACCGTATCGGAAAATACAACGTCTTCACCCTGGCTGCGTTCGCCACCGGAACAAGTACTTTAGCCTTGTGGCTTCCATCCGGCAGAAACGATACTGCACATATCGCGTATTAAGTTCTATATGGATTCTTCTCCGGCGCTTATGTCTCCCTGATAGCGGGTCTAGTAGCACAAATTTCTCCAATAGAACAAATTGGATTCAGAACGGGACTGGTGTTCTTCGTCAACAGCATTGGAGCGTTAACGACGTCGCCTATTGCTGGCGCGATCCTGGACAGGGAGAATAGGGAATGGACGGGAGTCAAAGTATTCTCTGGTGTTCTCTGCATCGCAGGCACAGCGTTCGTGTTTGGGGCGAGAATCTCTAAAGTCGGCTGGAAGTTCAATGTCCTCTTCTAACATGGCAACAGCTTTGGCTGCAACCATACCAAGGTTATGTTGTCATGTTTTTACCTCGATTTATTACATCTTTCCAAAATGACTGATCAGTTTATAGAGACGTTCAGATGTATAATTATAGACTAAGTTTATTGTAGGATTGCACATGTCAGCGATCCAGGAACCCAGAACTCAGAAGCTCCCCAAATCTGTATTGTCCATCCTTGAGTCCCAATACAGATAGTCAAATGTATTCGTACTTGGGCCCATAATTGAGGGAAGTTGTGCTTCGTAAGTAGATCATTTATTTTAACAGTCGTCGCTGTCTCCACATCGAAGCTCTGTCCTGGCTCAATTCCCATGACGACGTCTCCTTTGTCTCCTGCTGATGCGGAATCCCTCGATTCCATTGCCTTCTCCCCAGTCTGCTCAAGAGCGTCCAATTCGAGCCTGCCTCATGAAGGAATCCATTTGCAAGGCAAGAATATGCCAACATCCACGCCCTGTCCGCGCTGGGACTTGGAAGTGGTTGCTGATCCCTAGGGTTTTGGACGCGTCGAGGAGGTCTCGTTCTGTTCCTTGACACGCCTTGTTTGTTCGTAGAGACGAAGGCGTAGCGGCAAGCGTCGAAGCGTGGTGTCGTAGCCATATCTGGCGAGTGACGAAGTCGAATTTGCTGGGAATTAGCTTGCCAATAAGATACGCCATGCGTTGTATGGGAATATTCTGGTCGCAGTGTTGCAAATACTCGATCTCAAAACGTGCCCTGAGCGTTTCGTACGCTTGTTGCCATGCCATTTCATTAGGATGGCTCATGTTGGACGAAGCGCTCAGTGACGACTGTCGGAGAGCATTATAAGCTTCCCTGACCATTAGACTAAGAGACATATCAGTCCATTTTGGCTCCACAGTAGGGCGGTCTTTTATTGAGACCAAAGTGCTCCGGTCAGGCAACTTCGCGCCGCTTAGTGCTACACGGTCAGGAATGACCACGTCCTCAAGACTATCTTGCTTGGTTCGACAGACTTGATTTGATAGAACAGTTATAAAGATTAAGAATTGTCTGAGGGATGAGCCAATGTTTCCTTCGATCAGAACACCATGGCTCCCCCGTCCACGATAATGTCTGTTCCATTTATATAACGTCCCGCGTTACTACATAGCAACACCAAGGGTCCTGTAAGTTCCCACGGATGACCCATACGGCCCATCGGATTCCTCTCATTCCAGCTCTTGCGCGCTCTAATCAAACCATCACCGTCGTTAAGTATCGTGTCCATGTAGCCTGGGCTCAAGCAGTTAACTCTGATGCCATAGCTACTCCACTCAGCAGCCAAGCTCTTTGCCAGCGATAGCAACGCTGTCTTGGACGAGTTGTATGCACATTGCGGCTGTGGGTAGTTTGTATGATGCGCAGAAATACTCGCAGTAAAGGTGATGCTCCCTCCAGTCCCTTGAGCGCGCAATTGCTTCGCAACAGCCTGCGCGCAGAGAAAAGAGCCTGTGAGATTGATGTCGTGCGTGCGCCGCCATTCGTCGGCCGCCATCTCTATGGCGTGTGTGCAGCCTACGACGCCCGCGAAGCAGCATAGCATGTCGATACTGCCTAGCACCTTGACGGAGCTTTCTACGGCCGATGCGATGGCTTTCTCGTCGCGCACGTCGACGGCTTCGGTCATGATGCGCGCGTGGGGAAACTTGGCGTGGAGTTTCTTGACGCTTTCGAATGCTTGGTCTGGGTTCATGTCCCATAGGGCTAAGCCTGTGGCTCCATGTTCGAGGAGCGCCTGCGCGGCTTCAAGTGCAAGTGTACCTGCGCCACCAGTGACTAGGACGTGATTGGTTAGCTGGACGTTCAAGCGTATAGTGCATGGGGTGGAACAGGCGAGTGTGCTACCCTGTAGGCGTTCACGTACTAACTGCGTTTCCCTTGACCTGGAACCTATACTGAGCTCTTTGTGCGGTAGAAAGGTCGTCTGGGGGTGGTTTGGGCGCTGTGAGAGGGTTGTCTGCTGTTGACAGTGTCATCTCTGGCAGCTGTCGATTGACGAGCGCAGCGCGGTCATCTCCGTCTCCTGGCATTTTGGCTGAATTACTAATGTGGTGAAGCTTGATGCGTATGTATAGAGAACTTCTTGTTATCTTCTCAAGCGCGCAATACGGATCTCGGGCTTCTTTATGAAATTCTTTCGGACGACAGCAGTCCGCATGTACAGATGGTCGGTGGAGCTGGCCCAGCTCGAACATGACGTCGCGAGCTCTGCCCCACTAACGTTCTTTCAACCCACCAGAGTCCGAGGCAGGTTTGCCGAGCGTGGGGTCTCTTGTCTCTACAGCACCAGCAAGACCTCTGCAAGACTTCTACAATACCTCTGATATCGGCGTTACAACCCCTTCACTTGCAGTTCGTGGCAGCATTTCGCAAAGTCATGGCATGGCAATTCGGAGATCGCGATGTCCGCATGGCCATTAGCAAACAGATTGGGTGCATCATCAAAGAAAAGGAGTCTTGTGGCTTACATTTCAACCAACAATAAAAGTATACTAACAAGTGTAAGTGATTCCCTGCGCCTTGTTTGCAGCTGGGAGCAACAATAGCACACGTTCTCGCACAAATGCGCAACGCATAGCTGGCGTGCATAGTCGATAGTCTTATTCGAAGCATTTATCCAGCACCGCTTTCAACAATCATGAAATATTCAACCTAATCGACCGAGTCGCTACTAGAAAAGAACCTCGACCGAGATTGATACAATCATCTTTCGACAACTGCGATTTCCACTCTAGGACTGGTAATCATCGAGCAAGAAGCATGAAAAGATCAAGCCAACTTCAAGGATGGCGCGCCAGACACTCCGAGACCGGATGATCCATAGGGACTACTGACCCTACCAGCTGACCCTCAGAAGATTCTTTACAGTTGTGATGAAAGGAATGAAGAGGGCCGAGACGAGGAGGATGACGGTGAGACATTGTACGTGGGTGGCGGTTGTGAGCCTGGAGAAGAATACGGTCTCTGCCAATGGGCCCTTGTCAAATATGACCGCAACCACCAAGGCCCTGGATGCGATTATATGGATCTACTAGACATAAGTCGGGAGCGCAAAATTTCGCCAAGAGAGTTGTGTCGTATGCCTTTGCAGCCGTAGTGCTCCATGGCCTGTCGACGCACAGGAACGAGGCGAGCAGGAGCAGCATGTGCAGCTGTCGTTATCCACAACGCGCGATGGGAGATACTTCATGTCATGAAGCCGTACTGCTTTCTTTCATCGGCGATCTGCTACATGGTTTGGACTGGAGAAGGGGAGTTACGTAGGCGCCTTCGATATGTTATGCCTCGCCTTCCGAAGCGAGCCGGCGTCAATGTCAGCAACACGTCGCAGTGATCATTTACAGCATTGAACAAAATAGATTATCTTGACAAACATTGTTGTTTTGGATATATAAAGACCCTAGCTACCCTGATTCATCGCGCTATGCATGTAAATGCGGGGTCTCCACATAGTGTATCTTCCCGCAGTGGCAGCTCGGTCCGCGCCATGAAAACATCCGACACCTGATCTACACCATTCAATCAAGACCGGCAATCCTGGATCTTTACCTATCTATTGACTTCCTTTCCTTGGTGCATAGAATGGCAGATGAAAGCAGCCTGCTCAGACGAGGTACAAAAAGGGCAAGAACACGACACGGGTTAATCCCACCCTCGACATGCCAAAACTGATAATAAGACTAACGCCATCTCCAGATGCATCAACTGCAAAGCAAAAAGACGCAAATGCGACGAAGCAAAACCCGCCTGCGGCCGCTGCAGCAGCAGGAGCGAAAAATGTGAATGGGCCTCTCGCCTCACCTTCCGGGCTGAAAACGCTCTAGGCGTCGAACCATCATCGCTGCATCGCCCGCCGGGACGACCACCCGCGCGTTTCAGGATCAAAGACGTAACCGCAGAGGTTATACGCGACTACCAGCACTATGATCCAGGAGAGGATCTCGATGTGTCGGATCAGTCTGATGGTCAGCAAGCGACTGCTTCCAACGACGTGTCGCCGCCTACGGTGCACGACCAGGGTACACCATATCAGGAACATTTCAATTGGCATCACAATCCGACTTTCCCAGCTGCGGAGCCTAATATTACTAGTCTTCGGTCTACTGATTATGTTCCTCTGCCCACTCCAGGAGATCTCGAGTCCATTTGGCACAGTCCCGTCGCCACTACGTATCTAGACGATAGCGTATTCCTGCCAGGCTCAGCATATCTCGATGCGCATTCTACTTTTCGAAACCACCTTATTCAGGAAGTGAGATCCAATGTGCCGACTCGACAAGTCACGCCTGATCCTACACGCATCGAGCATGTATGGGGAGTTAATGCGGACTACAACCCAGACACCGAGAGCCACATCACAGAGATCCCCACTCGCCTTAACGCAGTCGAAGAACAAACTCTCACAAACCCCTCCTCAGCCCCCCAGCTATCCCCAGAAGAAGAATTCGCACTCTGGAAAAATTGGTTCGATGAAGTCGCACCTTGGATCGATAAATTCGATCCTGAACGCCATTTCCGACATACACTTCCCGTTATAGCGCGGTCTCACGACCACTTGCGATACTCCATACTTGCGCTATCAGCACGCCAGACAGAGCGAAAGAACAACAGCAAGCACACGGAGAGGAGTTTATCTCTGTACCAAACAGCCATTCAACTCGTCTTACCACAGCTACACACGCGCAGCACGCCCGTAATAGCATCATGCGTTGTACTCTGCGTACTGGAGATGCTGAGTTCGTCGGCAAAAGCCTGGCACCAGCATCTCGATGGGTGTGCACATCTCTTGGAAGCTGTGGGCATCAATGGCTTCTCAGGCGGTGTCGACCAAGCGCTCTTCTGGTGCTTTGCGAGGATGGATGTTTGTGGTGGGCTTATCGCATCTTCCAAAACGCTTATACCGGTTGAGCACTGGGCTGACGGTATGGATCTTGACGGTGATGTGGAGCGCTTCCGAGCGGACGGCGGATACAACGTCCATGCGTGCGAAGCGGTGTATCTTGTTGCGCAGATACTCGGCTTACTGTCTTTCCATTCAAATCTAGCTGGGAGGGTTGGTGCTACACCACCCACATGCGCAGACACAGATGAAGCATACACAGTGCGATGGACTCGCCTCTGGTCTCACGTCTCTGCATGGTACACCGCCCGCCCCGCAGAAATGCTACCCATATCTTGCTTCTCGACCTCCGCATCCCCTTTTCCGAAGATCCTGTACAGCAACCCGGCCGCCATGTCTGGTAACCAGCTCCATCATACGGCGTGTATCTTGCTGCTTCGACACAAGCCTTCAGGCGTTATCGTCACACCCAAGCCCAACTCCATCTTCTGGCACGCGCGCCAAATCTGTGGGATATCGATTAGCAACGATGATCATGCTGCTTGGACGAATGCGATACAGCCGTTGTGGATTGCGGGCCAGTGGATGAGTCATGAGAGTGAGCAGAAGGCGATTTTGCAGCTGTTGGAGAAGATTGAGAAGCAATCGGGATGGAGTACGAAGTGGAGGGCTGAGGATCTGAAGGAATTTTGGGGATGAAAGATGCAATTGGTGACTACTGTAGCCTTGTTGAGTCAGCCTTGTCTCTTCGCGCGCGCGTGATTGTGTGGGTTGAAAGGGTTCCACGCTGTCTGCTGATGTATGCGCATGTGTTGTCATAATGCACAAGGCTTCCAATGAGTGTTGATGCAGTCGGATGCAAGAGCTCAGCCTTGGAGCTCAGCGCCTATTCTTGAGAGCCGCTCGTGTTCACGGGTTTGGCAAAATCTTTTGGCCCCCCATGTTCAGCCTCATAGCCTTGTGTATTGAGATAAAAGCTTCTTCGTTGCTGAGAATAGCGGCAGAAAGTCATCCACAATCCAGCATCGATCTAGCCTTGCTGCAACTAGCATCTGTCAGTATGGGTAACAGCTTTGGTTTTCTAAAGAACGTATCTGGAAGTCCTTTCCAATTCGCCGTGCTAGAGGCTTGCCAGGCTGAGAACATCAATTTGACCCAGGCTTGCAACCTAACGTTCAGCGCAAATCACGAGCTTCTTTCAATCGGTAATGTGACGCGGGGAAAGATGGTGCCGCAGCCTGGAATAGCTGGCATTGGAGTGAGTCGAAAGAGGCACCAGTAAATATAGTGTTAACACTGCCAGATATGGTTCGCAACGCTGCCGTTCTTTGTTGTTGTAATAACTGCTATGTTGTACACATTCCTCATATTCGTGGCAAAGAAAAGATTCTCGTAATTATCCTAGGATTATGGTCGTCAAACAGAACTAAGCACTGATACGCGCAGTGGATCCAACCTCTTGGCGTGGTTTAGAGACAAACGTAGCAAAGACCAGGATGCCAACACCACAAACACAGAGCCGTCTTGGGAAGACAAGATGCGCGCAGTAGGTCGAACCTTCGTCTTGAGTGTTGCAGACACTCAGATCATCTTTGTTGGAGGATTCCTTCTCGGTTTCGCTGGCCAGGGCAAGTGTAAACTGACGAGCTACCACTTCACTGCATCGGTTAGCCAGATGATGATTGCGCTGTCTGCCATCACTTTTTCTGTCGCTCTGGTACGGACCTACTGGCGAAATCCACTGGCCGCAGCACTCCGGCTAGTTCTTTCTCTCGGAGCTTTTATTGGCGTCGGTATAACCATTTTCAGGGAAGCCGACTACGCTCCATTTGATCTGTATAAGCCTCCAGAAAAGGATAGTGCCATCCTACTTCCAGTGGCTTGCTTGTTGGAAGGAACACTACGCTCCGCGGCAGAGAAGCAAGCACAGGAGAGCGACGCAGATCTCGGCTTCGGAGCAGCACTCAATTGGTTCTGGCCAGCACCCGACAGAACCTTGTTCATCGTCCTCGGCGTCACCTTCCTGTGGGCGCACTTTCTGGGTTTCGTTCGCTTTCGCGAATCCCGCAAATTTCGCAACCAGGCAATAAAAGAACGGTCCTGTATGCGGAAATCCTTCAGTCGCTTGTACCTGGGGTCGGTAATTCTCATGCCTACCGGGACGTCGATCTTCTGCTGGATCCGCGTCTACATCATGCGCAAGTGGGTAGATGAGTCTGGCTGGATGGAAAGTCCTAATACTGAGATGATCATTTGGGACTCTGGCGGATTGATCGCGATGGGAATCATTATCACAGTCTTAATGAACGTACTGACTGAGGCCTTCGAGAGAAAGAAGGAAGAAGCGACGAAGGAGATTGAAGAAGGGGCGGCGTATAAGCAGCTTGTGTCTCGGGATCCTTCACCAATGCACATGAACGACCGGGGGTACAACCGTGGGCAGAATCGACCCTTCAACACATCCAGATTAAGGTAGCAAGCTTTGAGGTAGTTACCTAGGTCATTGGTGAGGTAGTTGACTGTAGGAAAGAGGATCAGTATCGCCTGCAACAAGCATTACCGTTGCCTGTCTAGTGTTTTGCGACGGTCATTGGATTTGCGCTTTGGTGCGCGGTATTGCTGCTGAAAAACTCGTATGCTTTCCTGGAGAGAATTTATGTGTATTTTTCCAGAGTCTGTAGATGTCCACGATACCTGAGTGGAGGGTTGTTTTCGCGTCGTCTGATAAAGCGGTGTTCACGATGGTTGTGGAGTGTTGAAGCGCGACGTGATGACGGCAGGTGCACGGACGTGTCGGGCGCGGCGTTGCTGACTACTACTTGGTTGCTCCATCATCATCACCGGTCGACACTCGTCGAAGCTGGTCGAAGGCGAACACTTGGCTTCTCCCTTATAGACACGAATTACGACTCCAAGGGCACCACTTGTCTTCTAGAAGGATCACGATAACGCCCCGCGCTGGTCGAACGCTGCCTTTGCTGGCCTCGTCGACATTCACAATCATAATCATTGCGCGATACATGCACGATTAATCTAATACTCTCTTCGCAGTCTGGCCAACTAGTACCAACCTCGGGTGCAACGAGGGTACACCCTCACAAGGACTCCATCTGTTCACTTCCCGATTCGTCGTCTCGAAATCGCCTCACTCGACGGGCCCCGCCACCATGTTCACGAGTTTCACCGGCAACACGCGAAAGGCGCGTCAGGTGAACCTCGGCGGAAAGAAGACAAACCCCTTCGGTCCTCCCGGCTCCGGCGCCGGATCCCAGGCCGCCCTCGACCGCGCACAACAAGACCGCGTGCAACGACAGCGGGAACGAGATACGCTGAATGCGGCCAAGCGGATACAGAAGGTATGGCGGGGTCACTCCGCCAGGAGAGATGTAGCCGACGAGCTACGGGGGGCATGGGATCGGGCAGAAGAGTCGAGCGGCTCTTCGCATACCGTGGCATACAGCTCCGAGGGAGAAGCCCTGGCCCAGCTGCAACGGCTGCTCCGCTTCGCTTCCTCACGGAGTGATGACGATCTGAGACGGATACAACACTATGCGTCGCGACAGATGGAAGCAGTCAAGAAACTGGGCATTGCTTCGAGCGGACCATGGCCGTGGGCTTATTTGAGGCTGCAGCGCATATTGCTCGTCGCTATAGAACGGCAGCTTCAGAAGACCTCGACAGTCCAATGGCAACAGATTAGACCCTCTGTGGATGTGTTACATTTCCTCGCAGACCAGATACCCGCCGAAACGTCCCAAAACGCCCAAAATTACTACCGCGCCCTCGCGCTCGTCGTGTCCACATTTACCTCAATACTTGAAGCACAAAGTGACGGGTCAGACATGAGCGACATCATAGCAAGGGCAGCTATCTCGCCGATGAAGCGGGTGACCGGATATACACTAGATGCTTACGAAGCCTTTGGCATACATTTCTTGACTCTCCCGCTACTAGCATCAGACTCGCCATCACCGTGCCTACACAAGTTCCGCGACTCGCTCGCCGACTCAATCAACTACAAACTACTTGCGAACGCATTGGCAACTCTCTCTAAGAAAGCAGGACTGCAAAGCAAAGCCGAATTGAAGAGCACGTCAAGTCGACTGCGTTTGCTGGGAAACTTCATCTACTTTCACCGCTACGCTCATAACTTTGACACTCCTGAAGCGTACGCTATCCACAAAGATTTCGTAGCCGTAGTCTCCGTTCTGTTGAACTCTCTACCAGTCAACATCGTTGACGATGGTCATCCAATCGCCGAGCTTTCGGAAGATGGCATCGAGCAAGACTCCGAAATAGTGTCTGGTTTCTTGAAAGAGCAAGTTGGCTCGCTGGTGCACCAGGAAGGCATTGGTAGTCTTCTCGCCGGATCTTCGCAGTCAGCAGAAGCTTCGGACGATGAGAAGATTGATGAAGCACGCCAGCTCGCAAACTATGCCCTTGCATTACTTCGATTCTTTCCCCGCCGAGGTGACGAAATACGGATGTGGCTGTACATTGGTCCATCGGAGGCATCTGAAAAAAGTACAAAGAAGCTTCCGGCGATCAGGTACTTCTGGGAGGCGTCGAAACGATCATCCGTCTTCAGCACAATCTTCAAAGACTCCAGGGCAGCTATTGGACTTTTAAAGCCAAAGTCATCGAGCATGAACGGCTCCGACCGCCCGGGAACATCGGGACTGACACATCACGGTTTCTGGCAGCCAGCGCAGCAGCAAGTCGACCGCGATGCTATCACTACTGATGAGTGGCGGGTTATTCTTGTGTTCTTGGAACTATACACCTTTGTGCTTAAAGTCACTGATGATGAGGAGTTCTTTACGTCTGGACAAAAGGATGTATACTCTGGTCAAATCCGCGACAGTGGCTTACCCCTGACTGAAGTAAAGGATCTGACAACCTTCCTCAAGAATCTGGGTTTTACACTTTACTTTAACGCAGTAGACATTACGAATTCAGACGAGGACAATAGGAGCAATGGTACAAGTCTCAACTACTTCAATCCGCAAGTAATGGACAACCAAGCCCAAAAAGAGCATGCTGAGCCATCAATAGGTGGTGTCGCGGGCTTGAAGATCGATTACGTGAAAGGTCTAGTCACTGGGTTGCTCCGTATGGTGTACGAACGGGACTCGCGACGCAAGTTTCTGCCTGCAGACCACTGGTTGATGGTTTCGCGGTTCGACATGACTGGATTCATTCCTGCCGTAGTTGAAGAGGAGGAATCGCGACATAAGATTCAAGAGGAAGACGCAGATGATCTCGATGACCTGGAAGAAGAGGAGTTTGATGATACGCCACAGCTCATTGGCACTAGTCGAACGCAACAGCAACGACGCTTGGAGAAGCTACAACGGCAGCAGCGCAAGGCTTCGCGGAGACGGTACCTGCAAGCGGTGGCGCCTCGTCTTGAGATTTTGCAAAATATGCCCTTCTTTATACCCTTTACCACTCGAGTCCAGATCTTCCGCGAGTTTGTCAAGCTAGACATGATCAAACGAAGAGGGTCTGCGGATCCAGAATTTTGGCGATTCAGAACGATGCAGCAGCCAAACGCACGAAGTCAGTTGGAGAAACACACTGCAAGGATCAGGAGAGAGAACGAGTTCGATGATGCTTTCGAGCAGTTTTATGAGTTGGGCCAAGGCTTGAAGGAGCCGATCCAGATTACCTTTATGGATCAGTTTGGCGCTCCCGAAGCTGGTATTGACGGCGGCGGAGTCACCAAGGAGTTTCTAACCAGCGTTACCAGCCGAGCATTCATGCCAACAGACTACATTGACATGTTTGTCGAGAACGACCAGCACCTCCTTTACCCTAATCCCGCCGCCCTCGAAGAACACAAAGAAGCCCTCCGCCAAGCCGGCATCCGTGAAGGCTCCCAGGAGTACCGTGCACAAATTACTGAACTCCTCCAACGCTACGAGTTCCTCGGTCGCATCATCGGCAAATGTCTCTATGAAGGTATCTTGGTCGACGTCAACTTCGCCCCCTTCTTCCTCCGTAAATGGGCTCTAACAGGCGGCACGGGTTCCGCTCCCAACGAATCTGGCTACCGCCCCACGCTCAACGATCTCCGTGACCTAGACGAAGAACTCTACCAAGGCCTGCACAAACTCAAAACCTACCCCGGCGATGTCGAAGATTTCTCCCTCAACTTCACCGTCACCGACACGGTTGTCGTTGACCACACGACCTCGCCCAAGAAGACCAAAGCCATAACCAAGGACCTGAAACCCGATGGCTCCAACACCCCCGTCACAAATCAAAACCGCCTCGTCTACATTAGCTACATGGCGCGTCACCGCTTGCAAAACCAACCGTACGCCCAAACCGCCGCTTTTTTGCGTGGTCTAAGCACAATGATCCAACCCTCGTGGCTCTCTATGTTCAACGCCTCTGAACTCCAAACCCTCATCTCAGGAACCCGCACACAAATCGACATTGACGACCTACGCCGCAACACCATTTACGGCGGCACCTATGTAATCGGCGACGACGGACTCGAACACCCCACCATCCAACTCCTCTGGAAAGTCATGAAGGAAATGAGTGACGATGAACGACGGGCTGTGCTCAAGTTTGTGACGAGTACGCCGAGGGCGCCGTTGTTGGGGTTTGGGACGCTGAATCCGAGGTTCAGTATTAGGGATGCGGGGAGGGATCAGAGTAGGTTGCCGAGTACGAGTACGTGCGTTAATCTTTTGAAGTTGCCAATGTATGAAGATGAGGAGACGCTGAAGGAGAAGCTTTTGTATAGTGTCTTTTCGGGCGCTGGGTTCGATTTGAGCTAGGTTGGAGTGTGTGTGTGTGTGTGTGTGTGTGTGTGTGTGTGTGTGCGGGGTGAATTGGGAGATGCGTATAAGTAGGGCCGCAGGGAGGAAGACTGCCATCTCTATGAAGGAGAAGGGTATTATGTACAGATTATCCTGGTGATTACACTTACAAACAAGCACCCTTTTTCTTGCACACATCGTTGTACTCTAGATCATACGGATACCTAGCTCTCATGACTTGATAATATGCCTTTGCCTTGTTCCTCAGAAGATTTTAACAACCTCGGCATGACAGGCGAAACATCCAGGGTACGTTTCTTGAACAGGAAGACTAATCGGATCAATGCGATATGCCACATGGATCGGGAGATCAAACTCGACTTGTGCAACGGCCCCTTGACGCGACTAGTCTTGCTAGTATGCAGCCGTTGGGGCTAGCTTACCCTTGATTGTTGCATCCGCCTTTTGGACTAGTTGACGGGCGGACAGACGCCCGTTGTGGTCTGTGTGGAGGGGCGCCAGCAAAGTTATTCGGAGAACATTGCTAGTAGCGATCTCAATGAACAGTTTAGGAAACTTAGTCCGTAGCGCAACAACGAAACTCTGGATACGAAGGGTCACACCGCTGTCAACTATAGGATTAGTAATGCACTATCCATACACACTGGAAAGCCGACATCTACAACTGCCCACAGTCTAGAGTAGTGGTGCGTTTAGTCGATTACTTAATGTTCATATATTCCATTGTACATGCACATGCAGTACTTAGCAACGAGCTTCACTCCCACAATTTTCCCTTTGAGATGGCGTCATCCCTCAAAGTTTGATTAGAGGCGGTAGTCCGCTTTTTTTGCAATCTATACGTCGTCGGCGCTATGACGCCTTAGCCCTTCATGCCCGCGTTGTACGACGTCGGTCTAAGCTTTCTGTGCCAAGGAATTATCCATACGATCATGTACGCTGCCCCTTCTCACTGTTGAGAATAAACGGATCCTGGAGTCAGGGTCTAGCAAACAAAGGATTGTATAGCTTATTGGAACACTTCCAGCTGTAGGGTTCTTTTCTGGGTTGCGTCGCTCAACGTGACTATAGAGGGGAGACAGTGCAAGAAGGATCGACAAGTTTGTACGAAAGTCCCGTTATATATTTCTCTCCGTCCTTCGTGTTCATGTTTGGTAGGGACAAATACGATGTGCACGTCCCGCCGCAGGTTACATGATGTCGTTCCTAAAATAAACACGTCTCCTGCGTGATACCATGTCTATCCTCATGGTATCGCTGACGTCGGATACGAGGCACAGTGTTGTCTTTGTATATATAAGACCTTATCTCTCTGCTTTCCAATAAGAATCACTCAAGCTTTCCATTCACCAAGCACACTCGCTACCAACACTCACCAACACACACACACACACCAACAAACCACCTTACTTCGACAACAAAAACAATCACCATGCGCTTCACCATCGCCACCATCGCCGCCATGGCCGCCTCCGCCAGCGCCACCGTACTCCCGCGCTCCGACCTTGGCGGCTGGAACGTATCCTACGTGCAGACCGGCGGATCCGACAGAACACACTCGGAGCACGTGTACGGCGTGTACGCCAACGCGGAGCTCGCGGACAACATTGCCGTCGACTGCCTCTCGCAGACAACGAGCGACGGACAGGTTTTCTCTGGAAACGATCCTACGACCCTGACCTGCACTCCTGCGTCGTTCAGCTACGTGTACAACACCGATGGTATGTGTGGCATTCTCCTCCCACAATTTTCTGTTCGAGTCGTTTGTGTGCGCTCGTTCTTTTTTCTTTATGTTTTCGGTTTGCTGACTAGAACTTGCGATTAGATTCTACTTTGACCCTGACGCAGACTGTGGAGCTCAGCGGTACTAATGTTACTGTTAAGGGTACCTCGCAGCCCTTTACTACTAAGCTCGATCCTATCCGCGGAAAGGGTGGATCCGCTCACAACATCACTTTCCAGGCTACCACTGGTGTGGCGTAAATGCCTTGATCTGAGACTTGCAAAGCTTTGCGGGAGGGGGTGTAAAGAACCAGACAGATTATGTCGGGGCCAACAGTTGGAATGTACATCTAAAGGAGAGAAAAGTGGGACCATCATAGAAGGCAATATCAGCAAAGACAGAGAAGAAAATTAATAGCTCGAGTAGATTTTTAGAATTGAGTCCCCCATTTGCGGTCGCTCTTTCTCTTTTTGAGACGTGAGGTTTTCCATTTAGATGACGTCGGATTCTATGTAAACATCGCGAGAGTAAATGACGGCACTGTGCACCAGCCACCCATGAAGGGATATTGTGAGGACCGGTGTGACACTCATTGTAGAGACAGATGCTAAAGAGTGTAGTGCGAATCGACGTTGTAGCTCGGATGCATGGCGATATTCAAAACTTCTATCGTGCGTTGGCGCACTTTTTCTTTTCGTATGAACTCGCTCCATTGATCTTTTGCTAACAGTATTGGCCAGTATGTTCATGTTTGCTGAGAGAACAGATTCAATGACGAGAACCAGATTGACAGTTGTAAGGCGCTAGCGAACACGCTGCTTCCGGAGTCGCGTCCCCACTCACCCAGCTATCCAACTTCAATCTGGTGCTGTCAGACTAGCCATCAGAATGGCTGCAACGACCAGAGAGCCGCACGGAAAGAGCTGGTCTCTTCACGCCAATGCCACGGTAATCGACATTTTAGTTGACCTTCCGAGTTAGGTAGGTGGGGCAAGCGAACTAGCAAACCTCCCATCTGCTCAAGCGTGCATGGTAGTGCATCGAATCGCCTGCAGAGCAGGGGCAATCAACTTTACGGCGAGACAGGTCAGGATATTCTCAGTCAGACAGCCATCATCCGCACTCATCGCATCATTACAGTCGAGTATGGCTTTGAAACAGACACGCTGATCCTCACCCGTCGCACGCGAAGATTGTGATCACCGAAAATCGAAAAGCGCACCGCGATGCCGCCTGTATATTGTGTACACTAGAACTAGAATGTAGCGCATCGTCATGAGTCTCAGCTACATGTATGTTCACCGACGTTAACACGACACTCACCAGTCAACGACGCTAGTCGTCGTATAGGCTTTCGACAACGAAGACCCTCGCTTCGAGATATGGCGCTTCATCTAGCTGCAGCAGCCACCTACGCATACAGGCCTCTCTCTGCACGTCGCATCAGGCTCCTCAAACTACCCAACAACGTCGATTCTCAATGTGAAGAAGCGCCTACTCTGGTAGATGTATCGTTGGATACGCCACCCGCATACGAAACAGTCTCCTATGTATGGGGCGAGCAGATCAAATCATGCTTCTTCAACTTCAGCTCCGGTACATCGGTTGCAGTCACTCCAACTCTACGCACCACGATTGAGCGACTTCGCCCTCATTGCCAAACGTGCTACCTCTGGGTCGACCAGCTATGCATCGACCAGGCTAGCATCCCGGACCGCAATCAGCAAGTTGCTCTTATGGGCGAGATCTACAGCAAGTGCCAACGCGTGATGATCTGGCTGGGACAAGAAGTGCATCACTCCGGATACCTGGCATACTACTTCGACGACGGACTACCCCCAGAGCTTCAGCGAAAGACAAATCATACGCGCGTTTCGTCCTCCCGTTTGGAACAACCTGATGCGCAATCCTTTGTCCGGTTCTTGTTAGCACTGACGTGGTTTACCAGGGCGTGGGTGGTGCAAGAGGCCGTATTACCTCCCAAAGCATCATGCTTCCTCGGCCCTTTTACCTTCTCCATCGAGGACCTCTGGACCGTTGTAGTCCATCACAGAAGCGCAGAACGTTACTTTGCACAAACGGACTATAGCAGCATACGCCAGCATCCCGGATACCTCGTGCTGAGTGAGATCATGCGCCTGCGACAACAGGCGCGATACCGGAGCAAGAAGAAGCACAACCCAGCAGTTTGCTTCTACCACTCGCTGTCCATCTTTGCTCCGAGGTGCATGACGACGAGTCGGCATGATATCATCTATTCCTTCTTGGGATTGCAGAGAGATCCCCGTGTGCGCATCATACCCGACTACGATCTGGACTGGAGCGTTGTGCCTGTGATAGCGACGAGCACAATTTGTGAGGCGACAGAGAGTTTGAGTCTGTTTGGTATGTTGCACCGACAAGCAGGTGATGAGAGTCGGTGGCCGAGCCTCCCGTCCTGGGTGCCAGATTGGTCGAGAAGACTAGAGGCTGAACCCATGGTGTTTCCTCGGAGCTGGATATACTTCGACTCTGCGTCTGGAATGGCGCACAAAGCTAGGAAATCCAGTGGTCTACCTGCATCGCATCTGGTGGTGCATGGCAAGATTATCAGCGAGGTGGCGCACACGTTTCCTTTCTCCCGGGGCAGTGGAGAGCCGCTCGCGAACCGCCATGGATGGGATGTTTGCTCTTACCTCAATATACGGCGTTTACATCATCTCCTGGGGAAGACATGGCTAAACGATACGACAGCCCCGCCGATAGTGCGTCTTCTGAAAGTCATTTTGGCCGACGGGTCTTTCACGCTGAACCAGAAGCTACGAGAGCATTGCAGCGAAGGCTTGCCGGATTCTGATATTGACGAGTTGGCTGCAACGTACTGGTTCATTGAGTCCCTGGCGAAACAAGAAGACACCGAGACGACGGATCGCTCCAAGATGGATGATGACATGGGCAAACGAGCGACGAGACTGCGTGACCACGCCCGCGCAGCCTGGGGAAGACAACTGATAGTCAGCCGCGATTGGAGACTAGGACTTGCGCATACAACAGCACACGAGGGAGACGTGATTTGCATTGTCCACGGTTCCAAAGTACCGCTCGTGTTGCGCCGTCTTCAGAGTGGACGTTACCGCTTGATAGGCCAGTGCTACTTTGAGAGCGCCATGCGCGGCGGGGAGGTCACTTGGGGTGAAGACGATGCAGATGAATTTATACTCGAATGAAGGTTCCGAGACTTCTGCAATACATGACGCCTCTGTTTCCAGGTATTCGCTTGGAGAACGGGAAGACTACAGATTATCGAGACATGCAGTTGTAAGCTCGTACAAAACTCTTAGAACTTCCCTAATGGTCGTCTCTGTGGAAGCCTCGGTGATGAAATCAACTGGTCGACTCACGCACCTAGCCGGATGATTTGATTGGAGAGTTAGCTTGAGAGATTCTTTAGGAAGCTGAGGTTCGTATATCGTGTGGACGAGTCAGGTGAGTTTGAGACGAAGAGGGTGAGAGAGTGGGATCCGGAGAGTCATCCAGCGTGGTGTCAGGCGAGCAAGTAAAGGCAACAGATGTGAAGTTTGGGCGTCATAGTCTGAAGCTCTTGGTGCATTACCATACTAATAACCTATGTGTAGCTGCGATCATTGCATGCTATAACCCCCGTGCTCCAAGTCTGATTCAAAACACCTTCTTCACAACTCAAGCCACGATCTAAACGCAGAAGCCTCCTGTCAAGCTCCAAGCACCATTTCCACCCCCGGCTCTCAACTCTCGTCCGCAGCATCGCCCATTTTTTCCATATCAACCTCGCCAATAACGCCCTTCAACAACTCGGGCACAATCTGCGCGGCATCGCCCTGGAAAAACCAATCGCCGTCGTACAGTCCGCCCGCAGGCACATCATTAGCATCCATATTGATAATCGCCACGCGCGCGCCTTTACTGCGCGCCAAGTCGACGTAACCCGCGGCGGGATAAACCTTTGCACTCGTACCAATGACCATGATGAGATCGATACCCGCCTTATCCGACACAAAGGCATCGACGTCCTCCATGACCTTCTTGGGCAGGGCTTCCCCGAACCAAACGACGCCGGGACGGAGGAGGCCGCGTTGACACTTGGGGCAGTGGGGCAGGTGGCTGTAGTCCAGTTCAGGAATGGCGACGTTGACATCTGCAATGTCTAGTTCGCGGGCGGATGTAGTAGTGGGGTCGAGGGGTGCAGAGGAGCCGTCGTCGGCGGTTGGTATGGCGAGAGCGGGGACAATGGGATCGGTATAGTTATTCTTCTCGACATAGTTGCAGAAGAAATCTGAGCACTTGACGTCGAAGAGGGAACCGTGCAGCAACTTGAGCTTCTCAGCTGGGTGCTGTGCGCGGGGCGATAGGCCTAGTGGTGGTCGCATTAGCTATACATGCGATGACGATGAAGGAGTCGGGTTAAGATGCTTACCGTCGACATTCTGACTCAGCGTGATGAAGGCGTCCTTCTTCCTCGCTAGCTCTGCGAGGGCGTAGTGGGCGGGGTTGGGCTTGGCTTGGAGTGCCATGTGTCGTCGGTAGCTGTAGAATTGCCACACGAGCCCTGGGTCGCGCTCGAACGCGCCCGGCGTGGCTAGTGATGTCGCGTCATGCGTCCTCCACAAGCCGCCAGCACCTCTGAACGTCGGCAGGCCGGAAGAAGCCGACAGTCCTGCGCCCAAGAGGGCGAGGATGCGCGTTGACTTGGCGAGGTGTTGTTGGAAGCTTTCGAGGTCTTTTGGCGGGACGGCGCTGGGTTTGGCGGCCGTGGTGGCCATTCTGCGGATGAGGGTGGGGAGGATCACGGTGACGGGCGGGGGAACCACGGTGACGAGGGCGCTGGTCTTCTTCTTCTTCGCAGACTGTGTATGCGAAGAGAGGGGCAGTCTGGTGGTGGTACTGGTGTCATGTATGCGTTGTTTGTCCGACACATCGGGTGGCAGAGATGGGGGCCTGGAGGTGGTTGCGGGGGAAGCTGCAAGGTACGACGTCAGCTCTCTTCCCCACTAACTGCAATGCCCGCTAGCTAGCGCTGCCCACGACGTCGGGAAACGCCATGGTCTCTCCGACGTCCGGTAAACACCATGACTGTTGGCCTGAGACTGCTCCGGCCCACGACGCGGTTAGGGTCTTTTAGGGTTAGGTCGGAGGGACGACTGTGGAATACAAGGACACAATGGAACACGACGTGGAATACAACGAGGAATGCGAGGACGTATTCTGCCGTGCCAGCGTCTGAACTCCGATTTGGCCAACCGCTGCACGAAACGCATCCACACCTACTCAAGGCTGGGGAAGGTGATGACCACCCGGAGAAACTCTTGCCCGCTACTAACACGTCCAACAGTGACTCCCGGCATCACCGCCCTCGAGTACCACCACCGCCGCTGCGCCCTCGCCAAAGAAATCCCCCCAAACTCGGTCGCCATATTCGCTGCAAACGACCTGAAATACGCTTCCGGCGCCGTCTTCTACAAATTCCACCAGGATCCTGACTTCCTCTATCTAACCGGATTCAAGGAACAAGATGCGCTGGCCATCATCGAGAAACACGAGGGCGAAGACTTCACCTTCCACCTCTACGTGCGGCCCAAGGACGCGCGCGTCGAAGCCTGGGAAGGCCCCCGCTCCGGCGTCGACGCCGCAACAGATGTCTTCAACGCCGACGTCAGCGGCAGCATCGACGACCTCCCGCGCCTCCTCCCCGACATAGTGAACCGCGCCCAGGCAATCTACACCGACCTCCCCCAGTCCCGCGTCTCAAGGAACCTGCTATCGCGCTACCTCTCCGGCGCAGAACCCTCACGTACAGGCGGCATCTACACCGTGTTCCGCGATGCGTCCGCCTCTATTCGACCCCTCCGGCCCCTCGTCAACGAGCTCCGTCTAATAAAATCCGAAGCCGAGATCAAGAACATGAGGCACGCGGGCCAGCACTCTGGCCGCGCCATTACAGATGCGATGCGGCAGTCGTTTACCCGGGAAAAAGACCTAGATTCCTTTCTGGACTACTGGTTCAAACAGGATGATTGCGACGGCCCGGCCTACGTCCCCGTCGTCGCGGGCGGCATCAACGCAAACACCATACACTACGTCTCCAACGACATGCGCCTGAACCCCAATGAACTCGTCCTCGTGGACGCGGGAGCCCAGTATGGTGGCTACGTCACAGATATAACGCGTACATGGCCTGTCTCAGGCAAGTTCTCGCAGGCGCAACGCGATCTCTATAGCCTGTTGCTTGCCGTCCAACGCTCGTGCGTCTCCCTCTGCCGCACAGACTCGCACTTTACCTTGGACAAACTACACCACACTGCCTCCAACGCGCTGGCTAGCGGGCTCAAAGACCTAGGCTTTGATATGACGAGCACGACAGACGCTATACAAACCCTCTTCCCCCACCACGTCGGTCACTATGTGGGCTTGGATGTACACGACAGCCCTGGTCTGAGTCGCAGCAGGAAATTTGAAAAGGGCATGTGTGTTACGGTTGAGCCGGGTATTTACGTGCCCGATGATGAGCGCTGGCCCAAGTGGGCGAGGGGAATGGGCATGCGGATTGAGGATAGCATTTGTGTGGATGAGGAGAGTCCGTTTGTGCTTACGACGGAGGCGGTCAAGGAGGTTGTTGATATCGAGGCGTTGAGGGCAAGTTGAGACGGAGCATGTGAAATGTGTGTAAGAACCATAAGATGTAAAATTTTTGCAAGTGAAGTGCGAAATGGAGCTGCTTGAAAGCCAGGCAGGCGAACAAGCAAGCCTCCGCCATGCGATATGATCTTCTGCCTCCCCCCCCCCAATCTTGGTAGCAATATGGATATGCAGGTTGCCCCCCTCTGTGGCTCAGCTCCTATGGTTTGAACATATCCAAGACACTGTTCATCTTCCATTGGTCGTTCATATCCCCAATAACATTTAAATCCCCATGCCATTGTACCTGCATCACTTGCGCAGCTCCATCTCCAATATTGACCGGGCTTTTCCAGTCGAAAGGACTCCTCTGCAGCGAGCGAATGCTCATGACAGTTGTAACGAAATTCTTGTTTAACCTCTTATCAGGTCTTTGTGTCGTTATTCTGGTTAAACGACGCCCGTGTTTCGTCGACGTGTGAATGTGGTGTGGCGGCAAGCGACAAACACCCGACAAGTTGGTGCACGTCCGGGCTGTTTGGAAGCGCAACGGTGATACTGATTGAGACTTGGGGCGGAAATGCTTCCCATTCAAGTACGATGCGTTCGCTTGTTGTCTAGTCCTCTTTGCATTGGCGTAGATTATGTTCCGGTCCACTTGGCTCAGTGTCGCCATGTTAGATTAGTGTTTTATGGGTTGGCGGCCCATTGGACGACGAAGCACGATTGAGCGCATTGCTAGATCCAGCATATGAGCTGATTCAGGCCATGACCGCAAATATTATACCCTGTTTCGCCAATTGTGTTGTTGTTGTTGTTGTTGTTGTTCTTGTCAATGCCGCGCAGATATCGCCTCTCCACTCACTCACAACACCTGGAAATGGTAAGCCCCATGTTTATCCACCTCATACTTGAACAGCGCCTCAATCGGCTGATCGTTGTCAGGCCACGGCGAGTACTTGGGATCGACTCTTCCCGCTGCAGGCTGCTGCAGTACCAAAATATCCTCATTGGGAAACGCGTCTGCTATATCGTCCCAAATAAACGGTTTACTCGTCTTGACTATCGAGTAGATGAATTGATAGGCGCGGGCAGCTAGATTGTTGGTCTCACGCATGCCGCGGAGACAAGAGACGAGTTGGCGAACGCTTTGGCAAGAGACGGGGAGAGAATCGCGGAAGTGGTGGCCTGGGCAGGAAATGGCGATCATGAGTACGGCGAGTGCTTGCATGACTGTGTTTAAGAAGAAAGAGAAGCGACTTAGCAAGATGAAAGTAGGAAGCGTAGGCGCGCAAAAAAGGGGTATCAGACGTACTGTTATGGACGATGATCCACCACGGTCCTCTCTCATATAGACTCTTTACGTGAGGCTCCGATGCCAGCAGAGAGGCAACGTCCTGTGCCGCTCGTACACATGCCTCTGCCATTGACTCGTCGAGCGCATTGAAGCCGTCGATTCCCACCTCCAAACATCTTTCGATACGACGTAGGAAGGGACAGGTGGTCAGTATCTTCAGCCGGCAGTATTGGAGCTTCAGCAAGAATACCTCGCGCTGTGGCATTTGCCCAGGATTCCATTCCTGCGAGTAAAATTCAGGGATATGGTCGACGGCCCATTTGTCGAGATCGGCGACTAGTGAGACGGCAGTTCGCTGCAGGTAGCCCCATGATGGTGTTGATTTACGTTGGGTGTATAAGTTAACGATGATCTGTTGGGTTAAAAGGTTCAGGTCGATGTCGGCATTCAGAATATCGGCATTGACTACGCCGGCATGTTGCGTTTGGTCGAAACCAAAGGCACCGGGAAGAGGCGTGGTTATGTCTTCGTTGGATATGCTACTCGGCCGGCCCGTGATTGAACTGAGCAGGCTCTCCAGAGCGTATAAGCTCCACCAAATGCATATCATATTCTGTCTTTGAGCCATAGAGGCGGATTGGTTGTAGTGTTGAACATGTAGGCCGAGGGAAAAAGCTGATCGCATCGCTATACCTACCATCACCCAGGCCCTGTTGACCACGCGTCAGCATACAATGTACAACAGTGGGAAGTGGTTCTCTATGATATAGAAGGAGGTGTCTACAGTCCAAGTATTAGGCGATACTCACCGATGGACGTGGCCGACAGTCATATAGTAAATTGCAAAGAGACCCGCAGCCTGCAAACGTTTAGCCTCGACCAGAAGAAATTGGCGCATCAGCACTTGCCTGCGTGGTGAGTAGATCCGGGGTCGACAAGACGACTATAGTGTCATTCATACTAAGCAGATGAAACGCACGCGACGAGTAGACAACATGATCCAGGTCTTCATTTCGCCAATCGGCCTGGATGAGGTGTGAGAATTTCGCACCTATGGCAAAGACGAGGTTGACAAGCGCAAACCATCTCTGCGGGTAGTGTATCGCCTGACCAGTGTAAAGCAGGGTGTAGTATTGGTGCAGTTCTTGTTCGATCTTTCCCAGAAGGATGGGAAAGGAGCCCTGGATGGTCCGGGCATAACATTGGAACAAAAGCGCTGCAATATGTTCTTGTGGAAGGTCAAAAGGGTTCCCAAAGTTGGTGAGTTTGATGTCTTCATCATCGAGATAATAATTTGTGGGGGATATTTGTTGGAGCGGAAACGCGGAGATGGGCGTGGGTGATGCATCGAAATTCGGCGAAGGTGCGTGGAAGAGTTGCGTGGTGGAGTCACCTGAATCAACGACGGTCTCGAAGGCCTGCACCCTGCTTCGGAGGCTCTGCAGCCATTGTGCTTCCGAGATCTGGCCCAGGAAGCCTGCTTCAACTATATCAGGCTGTTCGCCGTCTTGTTCATCTCCAGATTCTTCGGGTACAATACCATCCAGTCGTGGGAGGGGCGATTGGTCAGAAGTGGACGATGATCCTGCTGCGACCGGCACATGGCTAGATGACGAGGCAAAAGGGTTCATGCGCGAGTGTTGTTGGTAGTGGTGAGCGGCGGATGCTCGTGAAGAAGAGGATATGGAGACGGGAGACTCGACCTCATCATCTGACTTGGCGATATTAATTACACGTTCGATCCGGAGCGAATGGGAATGTACCCACGTCTTGGAGGACATCTTCGATTTTGCGCCTGTCATCATCGCTGACGCGCAGACGAAGGTCTTTCAGGATAGATACGAGGGCCTGGTTGTGATCTTTGGCACTGCAACAAGGTCAAACATGGGGCTGTGCAGCAGGACAAGAAGACTAACGTCGCTAGACGATCTTTCCGGGCGCGTTCGTAAACACATGTCTTATCTGTCTTTTCACAATAGTTGCAACGGGGAAGGCCGCCACTACACTTGATCTCTAGCGTACGAATGTCAGATGGTAACCAGGCGCGTGTAACTTGAACATGGTCATTGAGAACCTACTCCTCTTATGGCAATTCCGACATGCTCGTTGGATTCTATCTCTGTGTCGAGACTGTGCAGTTGTAGGTGGCGGGACGTGTCGGGCTGGCAAGCGTGGGATGGCAACCTTGGACTGCGACCCATATAAACCAGCTACCGAGGGACCAGGTCGCCTGTCGTCTTGCATCGGGCCGTTTGCGAAGATTCACGCTGTATGGTAGAGGAACAGAAGTCATCTCAATAAATCTCGAATGTTGTTCATGCAGGCAGCTGGCGTCATGGGGAATCGAAGATTGGGAACGAACACTGCGGCTTGGCGGGAGAACAGTTGAGATGATTGGCCTCGGAGCGTATGACCGTAAGGCCAGTGTTGAGCTTGCTCGCGTCTATCGACTAAGCCCCAATCTTGCGACGCTAGTACAGGGGCCAATGCAACGTTGCGCTACGATTCGCCGAAATATATATGGCAGAGATGGTCTCTTGCTACGGTTAACAGAAGAGGTTCGTCGACGTGCAGTTACCAAGAGGCGCATGCGCTAGTGGTCGGGCCCCTCTGCCGTTGTCTCCTCTGCCGTCCTGCCGCATCGCAACCAGAGTCGCGTGCAATGCGCCACTAAGGGCCTCGCCCTACCAACTCGGTAATTTCTCATCGGTGTTGGTGATTGGCAAGCGCGAGTCACCTTGGCACAACTACGTAGCTCGATTCGGGCAGACTTTCATCTTGCTTTCTCAAGCTTGCTTGGTCTTTTCAGAGTTCGTCTAAGCACATGGCCTTGATGCCATACAGTATTGCTGTTCCCAATCTAGGCTAAGCGAGGCTCGGACCAAAATTCCGACACTATACCCCTTTTAGACAGTATGGCAATTCAGTGGACATTGGATCGAGGGGCCTTGTTGACCTTCTTCCCTCAGAGGTCAGACCCCACAGATGTGGAGGGGATTGGGGGAAATGACTGTCGCTTTTGAGCGTTGATGAGGCGGTACCGTCATGCAAAACGCTGCACCATGTCGACCTCTGATTAGGATCAGAAACACATGGGTGCGCATCACGAGCAAGTTCAAAAGCTGGTATCGCGCAAGGAATATCATCATCTCTTCTATCCCCATGCAGCAAAGAAATAATGAAAAGAAAAGAAGAGACCAACGGATGAAATCGAAACGTGGGCCCAGAGGGATCTGGCACAGGTTTTGAACAAAAGCAACGAGCTGAAGGTCAGACCAAGGACTTCCGACAGTGGAACCCGTCGAAGATCACGCGGGTGTAGTGTGTGTGAGTGTGTGCGCCAGGGTCTCACCAGCGTATTTACTTGGTTCGCGCAAGAAAGGGCGACAGACGGGACGGAGTACTTGAACAAAGGCATCTTTTGAATATGCGACATTGGTTTCTAGGATAATATGACAAGATTTAGGAATGATCGCGATCCTCGTTTGAATACGCTCATTGGCTTCTTCCCCTCGCTCAGACATACTCCAGCCAAATCCCGCCAACGTCACTCTCTCCTTCTCCACCATCCAGTCTCTCCCGGGTACCTCCCGCCTTTCCAGCCTTCGCATCTGTCGCGAGAACGACATCTCCATACCAGAATACCCGTTCTGCGATGCGCTTCCGCTCTTCCTCGTTCTTCGGCAAGCGTAGCACAATTTCCGCGCCACCCTTGAGCCTTTCAACTTGCTGCACGCGTCCAAGCAAGAAGCTGATTTCCCCATAGTCTTCTCTTCCAGCATAACCGATGATGCTTTCGTACACAGTCTTTGTCTCGTCGAGCATAGCCTGATCCCGCACAATGATGTTAAATTGTCTGACCCCCAGCGCGCCACACGGATGTGCAGTCCTCGCCTTGTCCAGCGGCACACGAACATTACGCGGCGTGACATCGTGGCAGAAGAACGGCACCTTGCCTCTGATACCCTGACCCCCCTTCTCTCCTTTGGGAAAAGTGACAGCCCACGCTACATCAACACCATCAGCTCTTTTCCTTCCACCTTTGATCGGCTCCGAATAACTCTCTGTCATCCATGTGCGGTTCTTCTCAGGTGTAAGAGAATTTGTCAGGCACCAGTCTTTCCACCCTACGAAGTCGGCGTCTGGACCCCACCAATGGTCGCGTGCGAGGGACGGATTGATAAAGGAAATGAGCTCGATGTAGCATCCGTCCGCGAGAAGTATCAAGACGTTCGATGTGGCGCCATCGGCGTGGAAGCCTCCTGGGGTAAGTGTGAAGTTGTCTGAGAAGAACGGTGGTACTTCGGGTAGTTGCGTGGTCGGGTTGGCAGGGACGAAGAGGATTAAATGGTCCAGACATTGCTGTAATGGAGCCATGGTGAAGTGGTCTACCCGGTACTAACTCGAGTATAGGAATGATAGCGCGTCTTTATACCAAATTATAGTCATACGAGGTCTTTCGTGCTGATATGTGAAAAGATAGTGCATGCACGTGGAGTCATCGCATTTGGCCGAAAAGGGAGAGATCTACGGCGATTGCGGAGGGGCACTTAGCTTCAGCCGTCATTGTGCTAGACCTGTGCATCGCTTGCTGCTTCTTTGCCATGTCGTCTATAGCGACAAAAAGAGAGTGGAGCTCTCAAGACTTTGGAGACTTCTTTGTTGTGGGTACAGAAGGATGAGGGTGCGTGGTTCGACAGGGAACAATGGTGGGGCGGATCAAGCCGCTTCGCACCAGCCCGGCTGCAGCAGCTATCCTCGCTTGCAGCAACACAATCTCGTATCATGGCCATCGCCATTCCTATCGCATCAGCTGTGCATGTGGGCTTTGCGCATTCTGCCATTATCGCGTAATTGGTCGCCATACGCACAGCGCATGTAGGACCAGTCAGTGTAAGCCATACGGTGCCCTGTTGGTGCTGCAGGCCGCCCGACATGCGTTCATTATCGTATCTGACTTCTGCGCGGAGCGGGGTCGTCTCGCAATCGTCTGACTTTGCAATGGACGACGCGTCGTTGCGTTAAGTTTTTTGAGCTTTTGATTTGGGGAGTGGAGGAAACGCGACAGTACAGCGATGCACAGCGACTCAGATGACAACGTCGGCCGAGTCGGCGTTGACGATGGTGACGCTCAAGCAGAGATCAGAGTACCGCCATCAGCCGTGAGGCCTCATGCAGAAGACAAGGTTGAGTCTTATGAGGATGAAGTCGTCTGGAAAGGTCGATCAACAGGGCGGACCACCCATCTTACTACGAAGAGATCAATCAAAAGTCGAACTACCCCAGGCGCAACACTTTTGGTCGATCCCGCGTCTGACCATCGAGCGCGGCGAAGCGAGGCTGCCAAGAACAGCATGAGAACACCGAGTTACTCCTACCCATATTCGTCTGGGTTATACCAACCGTATGCGCAGCCTTTCTGGTCACATGTGCCCACTTATCCATCAATCTACCCGCCGACCTACCCTCTGAGCTACCTGCCAGCCTACCCGCGTTTTTATGCATCGCCATACGTAGCTCCCACTTCCAGAGCTCCGGAACACAATGTGCAGCGAGCCCCCGAAATCGAACCTTCGTCAAGCGCTGTGCATCTCAAGGGCAAATTCAGGCATGATGCGACCATCATTCGCGATACACATTCTGAGATCAAGGTACCAGTACGTCTCCATGGAGATAAAACTACGATTAAGAGAACCAGAAAAGCTACAAGAAGTACCCCAGGTTTCAAGACAAAGGTTAGACCTAAGGTTAGGTCAAAGAGACACAAGAAGTTCCCATCAGCTTCACAGAGTAACGTAAATTTCGTTGATACAGCTCACATGCGCGAAAGCTCGAGCAAAGCGAAAACTGACGTGCCTCTTGGGTCTTATATGGCAGAGGATATTGCTGAGCCATCTGACCCAGTGCAACGTGAGTTCGTATACAGTGAGCCTGTTTTCGAGTATGATGAACCATGGGAACATCCTGTTCGCCACACTAGTATACGCAAGGTGCACTCGGAACCCTCATTTACGGCACGGAAATCCGAATTTTTTGTACCCCATCAGTCTACATTTCCCACACCAGTGTTGGCTCCTCCGCTACATACCGATCGCCGCGAACTGTTGGACCAGAACGATGCTTCACAGTCCATTAGTTTAGGATCTGGCGACGGAGAGAACGAGTCAGAGCTGGGCATTGGAGACAGGCTGGTTGCGCAGGAAGACGTATCGATCGCAGGGGCTGTTTCGCAGCAAGACCCGAAGCCTGAAGTCAATGGTCAGATCAATAGACTCCCACGGCAATCCAAACTTGATGATCTGATCATCTCAGTCACGATTCCAAGCAGCTATGCAGCCTTTCACTCGCAATTTTCGATTTCCCCAGAAATGAAATGGCCCGAAACCAAGGATACCGACGGAGATATCCACATGGATGTCAAGAAAGCTATCAGTGCAAAGCGCTTGAGAAGAAGGGATGGCGCATACTCAATGGAACTCTACTGCGACAAAGGGCCAACTTCTAGTAAAGAAGACAGTACTTATCAGATGCAGTGGCTGTAAGCAATTGGTATTTGCCTTCGATGATGAATATTGCTAATCCGGCGTCGCAGGCACATGAAGACGCGTCGCTTGAATCTGGCAGAATTTGAGGTTCGTTCGTCCATACCTCTCCTGAAAGGGTGAAATCGAAATCAATATCGCTGCTAAGTGCTGTTCTAGAACGCTTGTCTAAATGCTCCCGGGCTTGGTGGTGAAGCCCGTTTTACACTGCTGAGACTGTTCAAACAGATACAGGTCAAACATCGAAAACAGTTGTTCGATGGATATTCAATTGAGCCTGGTACAGTTTTGCGTTGTGATGGCGTTTCTCCAGGAGATGCTAACGTCGTGCAACCTTCTGCGATCTTCATCTGCTTTCCATATCTCTCGGTGGGCACTCGTCAAGAGCCTGTCCACTCAGCGGAGCCCGGATATCCTACCAGAAGTATACTACAGACCCTCTATCCGTACGAATCGACCACGTTTAGTGATGAGGCTCCGAGCTTTTGTAGTGATCGACCCCAATCGGCAGACCAAGTTTTGTATGTTCCACAGTGCTGGATCATCATCCTTAATTCTGGTAAGATACCATATGCTACCTATTCACACCGCAATCTAACCTCGATAGATACCTTACTATCGTGTGCTGAGCTTGATAGTGGAGCGATCATGAATCCAACAGTCTCCCTATCCCACCAAAAGAAAAGCTTCTCACCCACTGTCGGTCACCAAAGTCAGAGACCTGGAAAAGACGCTGCAGTGGATGGTCTTGATCCGATGAAATCTGCACAAGCCATTGTACAACAAAGTTTAGAGGGCGACGACTACGATCGAGATCTGAGACAGCTGTTCGAAGAAATCCGCGTTGAGGATTATTTAGTTGAAGACGATGAGTCTGATACTTCGAGTATAACGAGTACTTCTCAATCTTCCCTGAAAGACGCTGATGTGGGAAGGCTGCCCGAAGCACGAGACAACTTGGTGCGACAGGAGCGTAATACTGCTGAGTACTCAAATGCTATAGGCTGCGGCCCAGCCGTACATCCCGACGTCGAGGAGCGAGGCAACCCCGAAATGCTTTCGTCGATTCAAGAAGATGTCCGCTCTGATGCTGATCCAGAAACTATGAAAAAAGTGGATCCTCTTTACGACCTTCATAGATCAGAAGTTGAGAGTCGATCGCTTACAGTTGAAGGGGCTACTAAAGCGGAAGCATCGATGCTCGCGTTTCTCCATTCATTGGAATGTCCTCAGATGACCACCAAGTATTTAGCCGAGTTCAGAATGTATATGAACTACGTTCTCGACCTCTGGAGCAAAGCTCCATCGGAAGCACAACGGCGCCAGCATGTGATCTTGACACGGTTGAAGGAAGGTATAACTTGTGCAGAACTGCTGGGCGGAATGTGCGACCTAGAATCACAAGGTTCAGTCTTTTCAGAGAATCTTGGATTTCGTGATGCTATGCTCGCAGCACTAGGCATCGAGAATTCGTCCTTCCAAGAGCAACTAGAGAGTCTTGGGACTGTAGTCAGGGATGCTATGACTCTTTTCAAAGGAATCTCGGACTCCAAAACGACCGCCGCAATCAAATCAGCCAGGAAGATACTTCGGGATCAAAGTCAAGCAACAAAACCAGTCAATTCGCAGGAGTTACAGTCATCAGAGCCGACTTCTGGGTTAGCCTTTAACCCTGTCAAGCCATTTCTTACCTGGATATCAATCGATGCAGAATTGAACGAGCGAGACATTGCAGAGCAAGTCACAGCTGAGTACCTTGACACCATCATGGGAGAGATCAAAAACAGCTTGATGAGAAACGAGGAGTCCTACAAATTTGCTAGAGAAGTTGCCATATCCAAGCTAGAATCGTCATTGGCAGCCCCGATGCAGCTTTCTGCTACAACCAGCAACATCGGTGCTCCTGGTCAGCAACGGGTGGCGAGTCGCGAAGAATCTGTGGACAATGCCTCGCAGATACTGCCATCGCTGGGAACGATTTTGCAGAATCTCCCACCTAACGATGCTCTTGTTCGCGCACAAAAGAATGAAGTTCGCACTGCAATCGATGACCTGTTTACATGTCTGAAACGCTTCATCGGACTTTACGTTGCGTGTGACTACTCACACACAGTGTGTCACAAGATCTGGGGATCGATGGCACGATTGAACAATGTGTGTAACATTTTTTGGTCATCTTGTTCATCATTTTATTTGGACAAACATTTTGCTTGTCTAACATTTGTTTTCCGGGCGCTTGTGTACAGAAGTTTTTATACTAACTTGATGGACAGACTGCAACACAGCTTTTTCAAGAACATGAGCATACAAAGCTGCTGTACATCATACGTCCGCTCGAAACAGGCTTTTTGCGCACTCATAAGATCAAGAAGCCGGCGGATGCTATTGAGTCTTGTCAAGCATGCAAAGATGGACAGACGTACAAATCACATCAAGAAGCTATGAGTCACCTCAACATAGTTCATTACGGAGACACCTCGTTGTTACGTCCATCAAGATATCAAGAAACAGTACGCCGGTATTTTGTGCGTACTGAGAACGATGTGCGCAATGAGCGAACGAATAAGCAACATCTTCAGCTATTGCAAATATGCATACGATACCTGAAACATTTGGTATCACGAGGGGAAAAATTGCATTCTGGGTTTGATGACGGAGAGCAAGCTGATTACCGGCGATACCTACTGCCGGATGGCCTTGTCGACTGTTTCGAAGAGACTGTTCTATTTCTAATGCAAGCTACGACATCCGTCGTTGCCATAAGGAATGAGACAGGCAATTGGAAGCATGTGCCAGGGAAAGCAATTGATGATCTGGAGACTCCAGCCGTGCAGATTGCGCTCGAGAAATTGGGGAAACTGGGGGAATCCGCAAAAGCGTCTATGACCAAAGCTGAGAAGGCTATAGCACTTGCGGGGCTTGAAGAGAATACGGTCGGTATGGGAAATGCTGGGCCAGAACTATTGGCCTCGTTACTCCTTCAGAATATCGGAAAAAGGCATCCCTTCGAAGACAGAAATATGGATGTAAATCAGCTATACCAGGAGTGTACTTCAAAACTAGTAAGTGCTGCACGGCAGGATCGGACATTCAACAGCTGCACTGTGACATGACACATGTGTTTGAAAACGCTAATTTTACTGCTCCAGCAATATCAAATCAACCAGTTTCCTCGCAAACGTCTGCTTCGAACTATTCATAAGCTCCAAGAAGAACTTAGTGTTGTTCAGCTTGTGAACTCCTGGCAACAGAAGACATTCACCAGCTTCGTTCAAGTTCTCGACCCCAGAACCTTTGAGACACCCACAGCCGATCGCGAAAATCTATACCTGCCAGAGTCTGGATGTATTAGCGACAGTCTTAAGTCTTTACAAGCCAAAGCCGTGGAGCTCGAGGCTCTGGAGTATCGCACACAATACCTTCGTGAACAATTGAAGCAAAGTGTAGAGATTCTCGAAGAAGACCATGGGAAAGCTATCTTGGTGTTCACGATGATCACCACCATCTTCCTTCCTCTGTTAGTGTTCTTCACTGTGATATATGTACATGGACTGACAAGTGCTAGATCCTTCGTAACAAGCTTCTTTGGGATGAATACATCAGACATTCGAAACACTGATAGTACTCAATCCTTATTTTGGGCTATAGCCATTCCTGTAACTGGTGGTATCGTCTTTGCTGCAGTCTTGCTAGCGTATCGTGGTGATAAGTGGTACGATACCATTGTGCAGACAGTACACGAAGCAAAAGAGCAGCGAAGGCGAAAACAAGTGCAAAAAGCACCTCTATACACCAGAGGAACATGGCGGGAGGCATTCACTTTCACGCCGCCTTCGTGGGCTCTGCGCAGGTGGGGGTAATCCTCAATTCGCTGGCGTCAAACTAGATACTTCAAACTCGTCTACAAGTAGCCAATCTACTGTTGCAATGTAGAGTTCACAGCTTTCGCACCCTAGAAAGGCCGTTTCATAGCGCTTTCATCAACCCCTCGTGCTTTACAGTCCAACTCCCATCCTTCGGGAAGCCTGGCGCATCACCTTCCGATCCCTTCCAGCCCGCCGCGCAGTACGCTATCGCATATAGGAAGCCTGCGTTACCTGGCATGAACGGGGGTGGAGTACCTCCATCTCCACCGCGGATCGCGAAACCTGCATCATCAAATTTCCAATAGTCATACGCGGTGAGATGATAAATCGCACGCTCAGGATTACCTACCCGCGCACTATTGATGGCGAGAACAGGACGCCCCCAGCCACGGATCCTGTCATCAGTCCATACTTTCCAGACTTTATCGGCGGTACGAAGGGCAATCTCGGGGTCTACAGCGGGCGTATCGGGGAGGATACCTTGCATCATGATGAGACTGCGAGGATCGCCATTGAGCTTTGAATCTTCCCACCAAGAGCTGTTGAGCCCGTCGTAAACGGCGTACAAGCCGTCGATTTGAGGTGGGAGAGCGAGGTTCGTGGCAACATGAGTCCATTTCTCAGGCACAGGCTGGTACAGTTTGCGTTTCCACTCGGCGGCGGCATCCAGTCCGTACCGCCAATACGCAATCTCGTATGCCGGGTTGCGTGTAGAATTTGGTGGTGTGTTTTCGGTCACGCCGTAGGTCGGCGGGCCAAGGTCGTAATTGCCGGTAGTTGCGTTGAGGCCGGGATAGGATGCCATGTAGTCTGCAGTAGCTGTCAACACTTTGTCCCACTTCTGAAGTGTCTCTTGTGTCGGATTTGCCTCGTATGCAAGATTCGCGAGATAGAACGGGTGAGGTTGCTGCCATATAAGCTGAGCATTGACATCGCCCGGTGAGCTGACACCGGTCTCGAGCTCGGTCATCTTTGGCCATCGCGCACCCTCCCATCCCATGTATTTTGCACGAGCCAGGGATGAGGGAAGGAGTGTCTCGTATAGTCCGGGGAAAATGTTGTCAAAATACTTATGGCGACCCCATGTGGCCCAGTGCGCGTTGTGCCAGATTGACATCTCCATATGGAACTTTCCGTACCAGCCATTATTCATCAGACCGCTTTCTTGCGGCGATTGACCTTTGGCCGCGCTATTGACACGCACGTGGTACTGCGACTTGATTATGCGGCGCTGGAGCTCAGTCGCGTTCGGATTGGAAGATGCGGTAAGGTCAACAAAGCCCCCTTCTTCCCAATACTTATTCCAGCCTTGTACATTCTTTTCCAGGATCTTTTGAGGTAGGCTGGGCACCTGTTGGTCAGATGAGAAATGGGCAGTGAACAAGATTGAAGAGCTGGCGGCCACTGTACCCAGGGTGTAGCGGTGTGCTGTGATGGATGTTGAATTTGGGGGCTCATTGCGGGTCAATTTAAGAGGTGATTCTTTTGGCCATCGCAGATTAGCAAAGTACCGCACTTCTTGCAAGTCATGCTGGATATGTGCTGAAGTGCGATCAGTTCCATCCTCCACCAGTATAGTACTATGATTGAGAGGGAAGTCGTATACTCCCGCAAAGACCTACGGAAGCTGTTAGCATGTGACCGGACCTCCACGAAGAGTGTAGGATGACACATACCTCGTATTTGTACTCAGTACTATGTATCGGCGGATACGGAAAGTCCATCTCCACCTGCAGGTCTCCAGTCCGAATAAGTTTCGATTCAATAATGAAAGCCACAGCATCAGATTCAAAATCGCCTTGTGTCACGACCTTAACATCTTCGCCATTGACTTTGAAAACCGATGTGATGGTGCCGTCCCACAACTCTAGTTCTTGTCTGGACTCAGTGATGAAAGACTCGTTGAGTGTATCTCCTTGATAGCGGAGGCCAATACGACCCAGGTTCAGTCGGTTTGGGTTGCTGATTAGCCACTGAGTTGCTTGCTTGAGCTTGGGGTCCGGGATGTCATAGTAGACTTCACGCCCATATGTCTCGCGCATGACGCCCTTATAGTCTGACGGTGACTCCCTGTATGCATTGGTTAGTGTTGAATCGCACAGCTTTGAAGTTCATACCCATTCACAGGGAGCGAGTCGTTATGCCAAGCCCAGCTGGATAGTGTGTTGAACGGCAAGTATGTCTGTCTTACAAGTCATTCAGGTGGTAGTAGTAGTAGCCAAATAAATGTACCTGCATCCCTGTAGTGTCGACATTGAAGGCAAAGTTGCCATTACCGACCTGCAGAGGTGTTGTTTCATTGTCAATGAGGTCGGATCGCACGATATTGAACTTTGAGACCACAGAATGCCTGCTGGATTTAGAGATGTATCTTCAGGAAGGTCGGTATACCAACCTATCAATATTCCCATAGACCGCACCTACTAGCAGTAGGGCCCAATATGCTGCTGCGCCGCGGGAGCACATCTTTGTTGTAGACCCTTTCTATGGTATGGGTACAGTAAGAGCTATGGCGTACTGGCAAGGGCATTTGTAATTGATGGCCAGGCAGCAAGTAGGATTAGATCAGCAGATGACCCCATCCACGTGGGGCACCTTTCCGGGGTAAATGTACACCGAGAAGGATCCTCACGACTATCATGGTTCATGTTCGGTTAGTGGTTGACTAACTCCAACTATCCCCGCCTTTCGCGAAGCTTGACTAATTCCTCCAATAGCGCAAGTCCGGAACTCAAAACGTAGACGTTTTTCTTCTACTTATAAATAAACATAATACTACGTCATAAACACGTTTTTTCCATAGAGCATATGGATTCGAGAAAAGCTTATACTCCAATAGCAAAGATGCTCTGTTATCTTCACTAGCCCTAGTATGCGTACAATACGTTATCACCAGGCCTCTCTCTTTTCAATGCTGCGTTGGCCCTTTGCAGCCAGTATCTCAAGGCCCAAGCAGAGACGATTGTCATAAACGCAAATGCGGCGTTGCTTGACATTGCTGTGAGATACTGTGGTCCGTTGCTTTTGGGATATAAGTATGCGGTGTAGATATAACTCGCGTTCGCGACGACGTTGACGATTGATAGAGAGACAGCCTTCTTCTCAGGAGTTTGGCCAAGCGTCGCCGATACCCAGCCCAAAATGACCGAATTTACTGCGTATGCTCCAGAAGCGAATAAGAAACAAGAGATATAACGTGCTGCGACATTCATCGTAGCACAAGAAATGATGAAACCAACAAGGGCAGCACTCATGCAGACGGTGATATGCCATGTGCGCTCATTGAACTTTCCGGAAGTGAGACCAATGATGATACCGAACGCTCCCGAGACTAGGTATGGTGGGCAGGTAAGGACCAACGTAATCGTCCGACTGAAGCCGAGACTGCCGACTACCGTAGGGAAGAAATTGTTGAAGCTGCATGCGCTAAGATGCATATTCTGCATGAAACAGAGCAGATACAACCGTGGATCGCGGATCGCTTGTCTGAAACCAGCTCGAGCACCTTGGGACTGTTCAAGACCGACAGTATCGCGGCCGATCCGATCATGAGCCAATTGCCGCTCTTCAGGAGTGAGCCATCGAGTAGTAAGGGGATAGTCGGGAAGCATGAAGATTCCTATCACCGCAATCCCAAACGTTGTGATGCCTTCGACGATGAACAACCACTTCCAGCCTGCCAGACCGTGTGCTCCATCAAGAGTGGAGAAGACAGCTTCAGCGATCAGACCGGAGAATGAAGTCGCGAGGATATTGCCAGAGTATAGGATGCTAAGACGTGTCGCTATTTCCTTCCGGGTGTAGAAGAGCGAAAGCATGTATAGAGCTCCGGGATAGTAGGGAGCTTCCGTGACACCTAGAAAGAAGCGTACAATGACAAGATCGGTGTAGTTGCGCGCGAGAGCCGTACATGCTGAGACGACTGCCCAAGCCATCATACAGATACACATATATAGTGACGGTCGAATCTTTTGAGAGGACATCAACATGTTTGAAGGAATCTGCATGAGAAGGTATCTTCAGAATGTCAGCCCTGCTGCTACCTTTGCAGCCACAGAGTTAGGACGAGAAGTGGCATACCCGACAAAGAGGATGCTGATGCAGGTATTGTACTGCGCGCCAACGAGACCGAGGTCATCTTCCAAGTTGTTCAGGCGGGCTTGAGCGATTGCATTACGGTCGAGGTAGTTCTGTCACAGGCTTTAGTTCAACCAGGCTATGACATGCTGGCTTTACATGGGCATTGCTCTGTACTTACCAAGAAATACATAGCCCAAAGGGTGGACATTATCCTCCAATCGAGCTTTCGAACGAGCTTGATCTCCTCTGCGCTTGTCTTCTTGACAGCGCCAGAATAGTCTCCCCCCTTTTCCAATTCAACATTCTTTTCATTCAAGTGATGTTCTACTGCAGCCGAAGTTGACTTGATGTTTTGCTTGTATTCAGCCATGATTCAACAAGGATATGTGCAAAGGTTTTCGTCAAAGTGAATGATGTCAGGAGAACGATACGAACAAAAGTCAAGATTGAACGTGATATGAGTACACGTATTGTGGAGAGAGAACCTAGAGCTTATATGCCAATTTTGTGGGTGTTCCTACCCCACGGGGAAATTGCTTGGCAGTTCCGGCTGCAACGACTGAGCCGTGTCTAGTCGGACATTGAATGTGCGGCGCTAGAGTGATACACAGGTTCCAGAATGGCGAGATACGTCGCACATAGAATGTCCGCAAGACGAAGTAGGTTTCCACTCTGGATTGAAATGTCCAGCTAATGACCCAAGCATTGTGAAACGGAGACGTCGTCGTGGTCGAGAGAAATATACGCGACTCTATTTGAAGTATACACAGCACACCTGACATTGATTCGGATGAATGTTGCTCAACTTGGCCAATCTACCAAGAACAGTGATCATCACGGTTGGCACTAATTACCGCCGCTATATACTTACTGAATACGCCGCGTGACTCACCGGATTCCAGGTACTGAAGATACATTCCAGATTTGTGACACAGGTTTTTTGAGCCTGTATGCGAAGAAGGCACAGTTGTAGGACAGGTAGCATTGTATGAATTCCTCCTAAGCGTAGCGAAATGTCTACATTAGGGCCAATACCACGAGAACAAAGATAGTTATGGCTGGATAGATATTGTTCGTAACACACATTTGGTCATGTTCAGTGAAGAATGAGATCGCCTTCCTATGAATCAAAAGAAATATCGAAGCAGTAATTGGAGCAGCATATAGAGCTCTTGAAGAAATAAATTTTGCCGATCCTTGTCCAGAAGCACTCGAACTTGCCTCCCTCTCATCAGAGCAGCCTTTCCTCAATTTGACCAGATAAAGTTCGTAATCAGGCGTGTACCCCTCTATGGAAGCAACAAGTTCTTCATCAGTTGTTCCTAGGCCCTTTTCTCCAATCAACTAACGCCCCTGCTGTAGGCGCCACCTGTACACGTTGTGCGGGTTATCGGTATCCACAATATTGAACATCCATAAAAATCAGTCACGACTGTTTTTGATAATATCCATGATTCCAACTCTCGCCCATTCCCATGTCGCACAATCCTAGTCCGGCACATTCATTTCTGGAGCTACTTCATTGGTCCGGGCTTTCTTATACCGCTGTATGCGATCTGATGTAGGTCAATGCGGCCGTTCGAGACTCTTAGCAGCTTGGCAAGTTGAGAATGACCTAGAGGCTGATGCTAGTGGTTGTGAGAGGCTGTGACCTTTCAAATTCATGTTGCGCATCTTCCAGTTTCCATGTTCCATACTTCTAGCAGCCTCAACGCGTATCAGTCCACTAAAAGATCTTGATATCTATCCCCATGCCGCTAATTGCTGTATTACGAAGCAACTCAATCGCGATTTTAGAAGCCGATAGCATATAAAAAAGAAAGATCTAGGATAGGCTTTAGCAAGTCTTCCTAGCTGTAGAATGCTATGTGTGACATCAGTCACCGGGAGATAAAAGAGAACAGCAACCTCTTAGTAGCTCTAGACGTCCGCTTGTAGCGCGTATCTGAACGAGCTTATTATGCTGCATGTAACATCCCGTAAAGTTTCACGAGAAACTTGCATGCGCTAGGAACTCAGCAATAGCCGTAAATGCTTGGATTTATTCGCCTTTTTACGCGAGCTATAGGCGATGAATTTCTTACAGGCAACAAATCAACAAGCAACAAGTAGAATACAGTAAGCGCCGAAACGCTATGATGGGTTTCCATTATCACGTATAACGACTATGAAACGGATACTAGGCAGGCGACCAAAAATTGCACCAGTCCCCACGGTGCTATCTCCAGACTACATCCACGTCTTAACTACCTGACCACGATTCCTTTAGCAAGTCTTTCACACTTTCTGCGGCCATATGTGGAAATATCCTGCTTAAGCTTTCCTTCATTCTTAAATTTGAAGAAGTCGTTCTCAAACAACACAACAAACATCGCACACATACGCTCGAGCTTTTCGTCCGGAAGTACGGGTACAGTTGTTTCTGGCTGACCAATGCTGTTCAACGACCCTTTTTTAAGCTTGTCAACGAGTCATGCTTGGTATCAAACTTGGTACCCTTTATCGCCTCCGCCACGATGAGAAACTCACCCCACGTCATCTTGTCGCCTATGATGACCGATTCTTTCTCCCACCTGGCAGATGATAGCAATGCAGCGATTAAACGCCCCACCTCAAAGCTATAGCTGGAGACAACGGACATATCTCCAGATCCGGGAATGGCGGCAGCATTTCCAGCCATGTCGATTACACGGGGTAAGTTTCCGAGATAGAACTTCACCTTCGGAAACCCGTAGTAGTCCAGGATAATACCGTTCGACACTGCAGTGTACCTCAAACAGGTGCTTGCTAGGATGTCGAGATAGTCGCTCTTCGCGCTCATCGTGGGGAGAATGGCCACGGCTCTAGGGACCGTGTTAACATTCGGCTCCGCTTTCGAGGCTACCAAGTAGGACTGCTTACTTTGGGGAATAGGATATTCCCTAAATACTAGGGACGTATCGTGCAGTCTTTGTAGAGCTATCCGCTGCTTTAGTAAGTGCAATTTCAGAGTCTGTGCCGAACGTAGAGCTCAAGGTCGAGATGACGGTGTCTACGTCGTTGGTCTCGAGTTGCTTGACGATACTATTGACATTGTCGTAATCGGTAGCTAGCATACTGGCTCCAAGTGCTATTGAGACTCGTACGTTAGACCTAAGGTTACAGGGACATCTGAGCTACTACACCGCAGAAAGAATGCTTGCCTTGCGACTGAGAATGAAAACCTTAGGGCCTCCATGGGTGATAGGCTCTTCGACGATAGCGCGATCAAGCTTGCCTGTACCGCCAGAAACCGCAATAGTGCGAGAGCTCATGTCTTATCGTGTTTCCGGCGAAAAGAATCGCGCAGTCAATTTAGCCTGGCGCTACAACCTGACGTGAAGAACCGGCTCAACTCTGTGGCTGTAAATTGTTTGGCAATGCGAGATGGAGATACCCAAGTATGGCACAGGCGGGCTATATAGTCACATCACATCAGTAGACACGATGCCGTTAACTTTAAATTGTTGAAATGGTCACGCAACGTCACTCTTCTCATCGCCCGACGACCGAGATCTGCTGATGAACCAGGAAATACACGCATTGGTCAGCTCTCGGTCTAAAAGATATTCAATACCGACAGTCTTTGAGATCAGTTTAGTGAACTGAAGTGCAGTAAGATCTCGGCGTTGACGTCGGTACGATGGTGATAGTGACTATGTAATCAGGGATGGGTACGAAAGTCCAGGGTATATGGCAGCTAGACCAAACGCGGTCCAGTGGAAGTGCAACCGTAGCCGGAACTTCTATTTCCATGGGTGCGTGGTCGCCGCAGCCCGCATACTAGGTACACCCAGCAGTCAGAACATCCCCGCGGCTTATCATCGCTTGTACAGTCGTCACCCGCTTAGACAGAATACATTCGCCACGATGCGATACTGTTGATGGACCCACCCACAATCACTTCGAGGCGCGACACGTTCGCGTTTTCGTTGTGTGCGACAACATTGTCTAAGAGCAGTGGTTTGTCAGCCATTTCCACTGGCAGGGTTGCGCACTTAACGCGCTCTCGTCGCATGCGTCATCCTGCGCCAGCCTTGGCTCGTTGTGACTCGCCCAATCGGAAAACGCTGCGCCGAACCAGACTAGTTCATGCACCGATCGGTCAACATGACAAGTTGCTGACTGGCTCCTAGTCTGGTTTCCATTGTCGCGCAACTAGCTTTTGTCCGAGACCGAGCAGGGCGAAAGCAGGGCGAATGTTGGGTAATCGGGTGGGCAATCATCGTTGCTGTCTGAAAGCCACAGCATGGGGTTACGTTGTCAGCTCGATGCATTCACTTTGTTAAGGCGCATGTAGCAATTCTTGTTAAATATCCCACGTCGGGATCGCTCAAGGACATTCAGTATCTCAAGCATTAGCACTCTTCAAGTCACACTTCATATCATCTCCAATACAAATCCATTGTCGCAACCCAGCAACTCAATATCGCATTCATACAAACCATCAAAATGTCCTCCAAGAAGATCATCACTGTTCTAGGCGCCACAGGCAATCAAGGTGGTTCTGTCATCACGGCTCTTCTTGCTCATCCCGAGATCGCCTCTCAGTACTCGATCCGTGGTATCACGCGCGACACTACGAAGCCCTCAGCCCAAAGGCTCCTGGCTAAGGGAGTGGAGCCCATCAAAGCCGATCTCAATGACCCTTCGTCCCTCCAAGCGGCATTTCACGGTGCCTTCGCCGCTTTTGCAGTCACCAACTACTGGGAGACGATGTCCAAGTCGACGGAAATCACCCAAGGAAAGAACATTGTCGACGCCGCCATCGCTACCGGAGTCAAACACCTCATCCTCTCTTCACTTCCCAACGTCACGGCCCTAACGAACGGTGCTCTCACCAACGTCGAGCATTTTGATTCCAAAGCCGAAGTTTCTGATTACGCGGAGGTTCAGAAGAAGAAGACGGGCATGTGGGTCACACACTTCATGCCTGGATATTTTATGCAGAACCTCAAGAGCGCCATCAACAAGGATCCTGCCACTGGTGCTTCCATGATGACTCTCCCTTGGGACGCTACTAGTACGCACATTCCACTCATCGACATCGTTTCCGATGCTGGCAAGTACGTTGCTGGTGCCCTGGCCCTAGGGGCTAGTGCCGATGGTGCTAGAATCCAAGCTGTTTCGCAATGGGTCACTCCAACCGAAGTGGCTGCCACTGTATCCAAGGTCACTGGCGACAATGTGACCTTTATGGAGATACCCAGAGACGTATGGGAGGGGTACCTACCGCTTCCTCCTCTTGCCAAGACTGAACTTGGAGAGAACATGACCTTGATCAAGGACTACAGCTACTATGGAAACGACGCTCCTGCCAAGCAGCATGAGTACAGCAAGTACGTTGAGGCTATATCTGGCCAGAGCTTGACTAGCTTCGAGGATTTCGTCAAAGCGGGGTTCTAAGGCGGAATTTTTGGGCTCTACCGCTAGCATTGGTAACGTGAGGCAGCTGTAGTATCTTGTTCCGCATTGATATTAGTAGCACCCGAATCTATAGCTTAGTGAATTGGACGTCGATTACTCTATGCACTTGATTGTAACCAGGAATTTTGTAAATGGCACCATCCTTCTTCCTAACGACCGTCTTGAAACCTGTGAAAGAAAGAGACATACTATGTTTCCACCGCCGCACCTATGCCTTGTAGAATGTTCACGAACTAAGGTCGCGATCGACCACCTGACATCAACCGTAGAATAATGTATACAGGCGCGACGAAAATGAACGCCACGACTGAGTTTAGCACCAAATTTGTCGAAAACATTCCGTTTGAAAGACCCCAAAGAGCGGCTCCTGCAGCGACTCCTACTGCTGCACAAATAAAGACTTTTGTGTTAGCTTCGGTGGGGATGAGATGAGCACGCTGCGATTCAACTAAAGGGGCCCGCGATATGACAGTCGTAACGGGGCTAATCGAGAGCTGCGCATCGGTCGGTGTAGACGGAATCTCATCCGGCCAGATGACTTCTGCGATATCTGAATCCCGGCTTGACCGTCGTGAGGACATCTTGACTGTGACAGTAAGAGACAGAAGTGTGAGTGCAGCTTCATGGTCAGTGAGCGATGATGTGTGATCTTAAAGAGTGGGTGTGTTTGCTGCGGACTCATCTGATTGTTGCGAGGTAACCTCGTGAGGTGGCAGCGTGGGCAAGATCTTCGGGCCAGCTGGAGAACTTCGGGTCAACGCATTTTTACTCCGACGCTCACGATACGGATTGGTAAAACTGGTCTTCAGCTCAGCAATTCCTGATCGGTTTTGATTGCTACTAAGGGGCATATCAGCATGTGCAGTTATCGCGTCGGCGGCTTCTCTGGCTTTCGCTGGTTCAAGAAGTGAGTATAAAAAGTATATTGAGGCTATCTCTGGCCATAGTTGGACTAACCTCCAGGATTTCGTTAAGGTAGACTTCCAAGACCAACCCCATAAAGAACCAGTAGTAATGGTCATACCGTAGATTAGCTACGGGATAATGTTATGAATGTTACACAGCGACCAGCTACCAAACGGCTTGCAAGAATGACATCGGTGATGATAGGGGATTCTTGATTACAGATCGAAGGACGGAGTAAGGGAACAGATAGCCGTGATAGAAATGCAAAGCAGGTAAGGTAGATACACTTCCTTCCCCAAATTTCTCTCATTTTTCTTCGCAACTCGACGATGAGTTATCGTCTGGGAGTCTCTTAGTCGGGTCGTGGGAGTCCCCGATCGACTTATGAGATGCTCGACTTGCCCGGAAATGCAGGTAATCGACGACCAGATTGGGGGTTTTATCTTTCCTTGTAGTTTCTCGAAGACTATTCTTGCCTCTTCGTCAGAAAGCTTCTTAAGGAGTATAGTGTACAGGCAGATCAGAGCGTAACTTTGGCCTAGACCGCCCCTGTAAGGGGACTTAGGGTCTGCTTTAGAGCGACGAAACTTTTCTTGCCTGGGAAAGGTCAGTCACGGATGAGCTGCTTAAATGGGATGAAGAAATCCGTTTACCATTAGCCGTCTTTGAGCGGACCTGGATGCCAATTCGAAAGCAATGTTGCAGTTTCCCTGCACAAGAGGTCAGCCATCTGCGAACAAACCCACTTTCCAAGAGATCGTCCTACCATGCTCGGCACAGACACTGTCTATGCATATCTCTGGTCGTCGCAAGACCTTCGTTAGTTTCAGTTGAAGGCGAACGAGATGAAGCTTCCGGATTGCTTTCGTACAAGCCAACGCCCATTGCTATTAGCGTCCGCGTCAAAAGTCTCCGAACAAGGACATCAGAAAATCCATCATTGGACAGACATAGAAACATCTGGTGTTCTGTCTCCTCCTCGATGCCGCGCGCTCTGAGGTACTTGCGGTAATAGTGCAAGTCACTCAGCAAACGCCCCGGCGCTTCCACGCCCAATTATCGAACTTCCAGCAATCAGTGTTGTAGCCATGAGCCATAACGGACAAGCCACCCATATACAGCTGCATACGGTGAATACAGCTGCATATGGTGAAGCCAAGTGTTTGCGAATACACGTCTACCGCGGTACGACACAGTGTAACTCGACAGCATTGTGCCTGCGCGTCCATCAAATCAAGAGACGAGCCACCTACGATCTTCGTCACCATCCATACCTTCCAGACTCAGTCTCAGAGGTCCTTCATGCTTCTAAACCTGATTTCATATTTAATATTGTACATTCATAACACGCTATGTAAAAGCGAATCAACCCTTTTAGTAAAGTAAGGGAGAAGGGAAAAAAGGCAAATTTCACAATGCCATGTCACCCAGATATGACAGACACATGCGTGCCTTCATTCGCAATAATCATGCTACCACCCTAGCCTACCCGCGTTCCTTTACGCAGGTATAGGCGGCCCGGGCGGTCCACTCCCACCATCACCACTACCACCATTCCCCCTCGGCGGCGGTAAAATCGCAGTCGGAAGCGGATTCTCCGGAATCTTAATCGGCGCATTAGGCATAGCCTTCAACCTCCCCGGTAAATCCTCGCCTTTAATAACCTTCAAAATCTCCTCTTTATCCAGTGTCTCATACTGCACAAGCGCATCAGCCAGCTTATCCAGCTCCGCCCTCTTGCTCAACAGCAACTGTCTCGCACTACTCTTGGCCTCGTCAATCAACCGTCGGACTTCATCGTCAATGAGGCGTTTGGTTTCTGGCGATACCATCTCGTAGTTTGATTTGAAATCTACGTTGCCAAGCTTGTCAGAGAAACCGCAGGCTGTGACCATGTTGTAGGCTAGGGAGGTGGCTTGTTGAATATCGCCCGACGCGCCGTCCGCGACGTTGTCCGCGCCAAACACGATTTCTTCGGCCATTTTGCCGCCCATGGCTACTTGCAGCTGGCGGATGTATTGTTTGCGTGTGTGATGGTGGTCTTCTTGTGGAAGGAAGAATGTGATACCTGCAGCATGGCCTCTTGGCAGAATAGTAGCCTTGTGCACGGTGTTGAAGCCCTGAGTAAAGAGACCAACGAGTGCGTGACCGCCTTCGTGATAAGCGGTATGAATTTTGTCTTGAAGGGGAACGGCGCGCGACTTCTTCTCAGCGCCCATGGTAATTTTGTCTTTGGCCCATTCCATGTCATTGAGAGAGACAAACTTTGATTGAAGCTTGGATGCGCGTATAGCGGCAGAGTTTGCGAGGTTCTCTAGCTCGGCACCAGAAAAGCCTGGAGTGCCGCGGGCGATGGACGAGAGATCGATATCTGGAGACAGGCGGATCTTCTTGGTGTGGTACTTGAGAATGGCAAGTCGACCACCAACATCAGGGAGTTCGACCTGAACGTGGCGATCGAAACGTCCGGGACGGAGTAGAGCTTGATCGAGAAGTTCGGGGTGGTTGGTCGCAGCAATAAAGATGACACCGGTGCTTTGGTCAAAACCATCGAGATCGTTCAGAAGCTGGTTGAGGGTCTGGCGGTGGTAGTTGGCGTCGCGTGACTTGCGCTTTCCGCCTATCGCGTCGAGTTCGTCGATGAAGACAATGGCAGGAGCCTTGGACCGAGCAGCCGTAAACAGTTCGCGGACACGCTTTGCTCCGACACCGACGTAGACCTCGTCAAACTCGGAACCAGACATGTAGAAGAAGGGGACGCCGGCTTCACCTGCGCAAGCACGAGCAAGCAGCGTTTTACCAGTACCGGGAGGGCCGACGAGAAGTACACCTTTGGGAAGTCTGCCACCAAGCTTGTTGTACTTGTCTGGATTCTTGAGAAAGTCGACAACATCGAGTAGTTCTTCCTTGGCCTCATCGCATCCGTGAACATCGCTGAAGCGGGTGGTTTGCTGCTCGGGGCGGACTTCAGCAGTAGTACCGCCGCCGACCTTCTTGAGGACGCCGCTGGTCTCGACGAAGAGTGTAATGAGAATCAGGGAAACGTAGCAAGCCAGGGCGAAACCGAACATCCACCGCACCCACTTGAAGACGACGTTCATCATGGACTCTTCTACAACGACATAGACGGGGTCGGCCTTGACGCCAGTGCCGCCTGTAGTCTTTGCGACCTGAGCGTTACTAGCATTCGCACCGACAGCCTGGCTGATGGCCTGTCGCTGTTGCTCGCTGAGACCCGACTGTGCACCGCCTTCCTGTCCCGTCTTTGCCAAAGCATTGTTGTAGATCTTATTGATTATAGCGCTGGTAGCAAAACGTCCAGTGTTGTACCGGTTGACGATGACTTCGTGCATGTCGGCGCGCACAAGTGCAGAGTAGAAGGAAGCCTGAGCCGGTACGCTGTTGGGGCTGGCGTTCGCAGCCTGTTCGAGCCGAGCGAGTTGGTCGTAAGACGGTTTACCGAAGAGCGAGCGCTGTTGGACGAGGTTCAATCCGAGCATGCCGGGCTTGGCCAACTGACGAATGTGCGAGAGCGGGCCGTTGTGCGACATGGTCGTGTATTGCCGTGTTTTGAGAGAACCGAAGGGCGAGGCCATGAGGAAGGGATTGCACAGTCCGATGCGCGATGCTGCAGAGTGTCAGTACGACGGGCCAACTTGACTCCTCTCGGCGACTGACCTGTGGATGTGCCAGAAGTGACAGATGTGGGTTGGGGAGCCTGAGACAGCGACGATGCTGAGCGACGTGCATGCGCGCCAGCTATCGACTTGGACTCAGATGCCGTGATAGTAGAGAGCTGCCTCATACCGGCAGCCGTGGGCTTTCGCCCGAGGACCTGCCACTGAGATCGCATGACAGTGGACATGGTGGGCCACAGTCCTGACGTGACAGAAGCGACGTTCTATATCTTTATAAGTAGGGGTTCAATGACGCGATGTCGGACTCGTGGCAAAACGTACCTGCAAAGCGCCGGCCGCGTGGAAGGCCAGGGCAAAGTATTAAACAGCGGCAGAGGCCGCAAAGTCTATGAAAAGCACCAGATGGAAGAAAAGGAACAGGCGCGCGTGGGCGTTTGTGAAATCGTGGCGGCGAGATGCCACTGAGCGTTGTTGGTGAAGCACAGTATGGAAAGCGACAGAATAGGCCAGTGCTCAGATGGATCGTCAACCCGAGAGACCCTCGCATATCTCCGCTTGGCGATACATCTGACGTTGTCCACGTCTCGACATCGGCGTGACATAAGCAGACGACGACTTTGCCAAATCTACCCTGCTATTATCTTGCGCCAGCTGTGCCGTCATATATTCAGTCAACATGCAGTGCAAGGCGCTGCGACTGCGTGTGTTAGGCGGGCCGAGGACCACTGGATTGATGACGTAGGTGCTCAAAGCATTGCTGATAGATCTCGTGAACCACGGATAGTCAAATATTCATGCGTCAAGATGTACCGTGCACAAGGTATCCAAGTGTGTCTAGCTCAAGATTGGAGAAGATGCAGTCGTCAAAGTACGGCGCACCTCGGCTGGCGGGGTAAGAGCCTCATAGCTCACCGCGTGTTATGGTCAATTTACAAACATCCCCATCATTCCAAAATTTGAACTACTATATACGATCATGGCAGCTCCAAGGTGGAAGAAGTTGTATGAATATGCAGCATGCGACGTACGCTCACCTTACCTGACTGTACCCAGAATCATGGCTAAACATGCATAGCTCGCTGATGGTCTATTGAAGCTGCATGTCCCAGGTGCGGGCTTCCTCGCCGACATCAGTACGACTTACCTTTTCAATCCCCATGTTGAATTGACCGTTGACTCTATCGTCAGGACCGCTGCTTCACACCTCCAACATCCCAAAGCCTGAGCCCAGAAAGGTGCTCGCGCCTGCATCAACCTTCCTCATGATCCCTAAAGCGACCAAATCCTTCCCAACCCCACCCAAGATGCCAGACACTATGCCAGCTTCCAACCTCTCAGACTCTAGGCCGTATGCAGACTACACCGAGAGCGGCACCATTGTAGTAATCAGCCAACCCGCAGGACAATCGTGCGCAGTTGTCGGAGGTATTATGGCAGCGCGCATGCAGCATCTAGGTGCAGAGGGAATTGTAGTCGACGGTCGGGTGCGAGACATTACTGCTCTCAATCAGACGCAGCTTCCCATCTGGTCCAAAGCGACGTCTGTCATCGGCGCAGGGGCTGAGACCAAGTTTCATGCACACAATGTGCCGGTAAGGATTGGCGAGACGGTGGTTGAAGCAGGCGACATCATAATGATAGACCCATTTGAGAATGGCGTGGTCGCGGTGCCACAGGGCAAGGTGGAGGAACTACTCGAGTTGCTGCCTAAGCTGGTCGAGGCGGATGAGAAGGTGGTTGCGGATGTCGGAAGCGGCGTGAGTGTGGAAGAGGCATTCAGAAGGCACAGGAACTAGCCACAGCCATTCCGTACTGCGATAGCACTCTGTTGGAGAAATACATGGTGTGTGGTGCGGCCAAGTCAGAGACCACTGAGATGGCTTAGAATTACATGACGCCGCTAACCTCAGGAATGCTTGGCACCGCCCATTTTCGTGATGCCGACCTCTCGCAGCTCTCCGAATCATCACCCACTCCTCCGCTACCACCCGCACCCCAACTCGAGGACCCCCAATTGCCCCGGAGCATTCACAATGGGTATCACCGACTTCTTCACCGACGTCTGGGAGACCTTCTCCCACCCCTCGGCCGACGCCGAGGCGCCTGTCCAAGGTGGCTCCAGCACCCAGACGCCCGCTTCTGGCACCGACGAGGAGAGCGCCGAAGAAGCCGATGTCAACAAGCAGGACGCGAAGAGCGGCGGCGACTCCGGAGAGCAAGGACACAAGCCCAGTGGTGATGATGAGGATGAGCCAGAGGAGGATGAGGAAGAGGAGGAGACGCCGGACCCCAAGGAGCAACTCGAGAAGGGTAAGTTATCCCGGACCCAGGAACAAAACACCCGCCGCTTGAGTGGCGCGTTGCGGCTCTAGATGGTTACGGTTGGACATGCCTTCTCCGCGAAAAGCACCAACAGAATCGAACCACTGGATGCATAGAGTCATTGCAGAGAGCACCGTGGCTAACCACCTCATGCAGAGTGCGCCGAGTCCAAGGAATGCCACGGCCCCAAGCACCACTACGACGAGTGCGCTCAACGGGTGACAGGCCAGATTGAGAACGACGGCAAGGCCAGCGAGGACTGCGTTGAAGAATGTATGTCAATCATTCACTCCCCAGCGTCACCCCCCTTTCCTTCCTCTAATATAACCACAGTTTTCCACCTTGCTCACTGCGCATCCCAATGCGCTGCCCCCAAGCTCTTCGCTCAGCTCAAGTAAACCGCCCCTAGCCGATCCTCGTCCTTCTTCCTATAGCGAATACCCACGTGTTGGTAGCAGGTAGTTGGAACGTAGCCATTTCGGAAATGAATGCAAGCATCAAGACATTATCACATGCAATGGATGACTGTACATATTAGAGCCCGTGTTTAGAATATCACTGTACTTGTATCTTGCCCGAGTCAAACATTGGTACACATCATGGAAAAAATGTTGTCATATGCGGACATGAATCCCATTACGTACATGACAAAGACCGAGCCAAGGAAAAATCAGTCCTCCCGAACAGCCCAGACCAAAGGAAATCCTAGCCTACGACGCGTATCCCTCATCATAGTCATTGTCGTCATCGTCATTCTCGTAATCCTCACCAGAATCCATATCCTCAAGTAGTCATCGCTCCGCTCCCGGAACCCCACCATTCACTTCCCCATCACCCCTCTCTCCAGCACCATCAACACTATCACCATCAACATCCTTCTTCAATCTCCCCTCTCTACTAGCGAACCCCAGTCGCTCCACCCCCAACATAAGCGGCAACGGCAACACCAATGCACAGACCACGGCCTGGAAAACCAACGCCCAGAACATATGACCAGGCGGTCTATCCCCTCCCTTAGCCGCCTGGCCCCTACCCGCCTTCTGCACCTGTTCGAGATCCACCGGCCGGCCATCTTTAAGCTCATTCATAATGACGATGAAGATACCGCCAAAGACCTGCCCGCCAACCCAGCACATGGTGCTCGACACCTCTGGCGAAGCCGGAAAGCTAATCTCGACCAGGTACTCCAGCGCAATGGGCAGCAAGCTGAAAGAACACGCGCCCAGCACCGCACTGAGCACATACGGCGCTGCAATGCTGCGCGTCTGCGGCGCCCAGATCATGGCTAGATACGCGGCTGACAGGATCGGGCATAGGATCTTTATGCCGAGGAGGTAGGCGTGCGTTTTGTCGGCGATGGGCGAGGTGATGGCACATGCGACGAGGCCGACGACGATGAGGACGGCGCCGCAGATGCCCGCTTCGTCTTCGGTGTAGCCGTATGGGTACAGAATTTGGTTGAGGAGGGAGGTGAAGGCGTTGAAGAAACCGGTGTAGATGCCAAAGGTGAAGAAGACGAGGTAGAAGGATGGGGTGCGTAGCATTGTTCTGAGGGAGGTGGAGATGGGGGTTTTGCTTATGGCGGATGAGGCGCTGGGTGGTGAGGGGGGAGAGGCGGGTATGAAGAATGACTGTTTGATGTTAACTGCATGTCCAGACCTGGGTTGGGCATGCATGGGACGAGAGGAGGGTACGGCGGAAGACGTACTGGAATACAGGCTGCGGTTGCTATACACGATACAATCAACACTGTAGTCGGTACATCACCCAGGAACGGGTTGATCAACGACGCAAGCTGTTTCGTCATGTTAGTATGTCTTTTTGCGATCTACCTCTATTGTTCAAAGTGCATAACATACCGCTGCCCCAAACGGATTCGCCAAACTCGCCAACGCCGTAGCCCCTACCCTTCCTCCCTCCGTAAACCACATATCGCTATACCGCGTCGGCGCTGCTAGCACAAAAGGCTGCGCAAGCCCCGTCAATATCTGTCCCACCATGACCACGCTGAACACGTTTGTCTTGGTCCCCGCATACCTGATCCAGTTCCCCGCCAAGAGTAAGACGGAGGCGGCGATGATGGAAGGTTTAGGGCCCCTGTGCAGGAGGTAGATTGTCAGTGGCGTGGACACTGCAAAGGCGAAGAGGAAGGCGGTGCTGAGCCAGTTGATGGTGCTTTCGAGGACGTTGAAGTACTGGGAAGATGTGGTGGATATGGGGGCAAAGGTCAGCCACTAGTGATTGATTGTTAGTCAATGGTATCTCGCGCCTCCCGTTGTCTTCAACGACAAGAAGTCGTCTTTGGGACATTCGGTCATAGTGGCATTAGTAGCTCTGTCGAGTTTTAAAGCGTGCGCGGGACCCTGACCCTAAAAGACCCTTTCCGTACCAACCACGAAGAAGCAACGAAGTCAACTTACATCCCAACTAACGACGATGTTCAACAACACCAACTGTCCCAAGCCAATCCACCGTCTCTTGTACACCTTGTAGTGCATATGGCTGTAGCTCTCCTTCTTCTTACCTGACCCGAATCTTCTCTTCTTGTGTTTCGGTCGCTGCTCACGTGCCTCATCTCCATCTCCTCCGCCATGTTCAACGCCGCCGGCAGTCCCATCTCTTCCAAAGTCGACTCGTCGCGAAGACGACGAGATGCCTAGCTCTTCGTCTTCCAATGCAGCATCTTCGGAAAGATGCGCGGCGTTCTTGAGCATGGCATCGTGGGTCTGGGTGTGCGATAAGTCGGCCATGGTCGTTATACGGTTGCTCTAGCCGACGACTTCGTTCCTTGGACTTCCAGGGCGCGCTGCGCGGAAAGGGTACCCGTTCCTCAATATATAAGCGCAGTATTGATCGCTCGGGCCAAGATCAATGGACAACGGTGGCCGTAAGTTCCCACGGGAGGCCAAAAGCAGATGTAAAGTTGGTGTTTGTGGGTAACTTTGTTTCTTCTCCAGGGTGCGCGCTGCGCACAAAACGGTTCCCGTCTCTTGTTGGATGTCGCTGTCCCAGTGATAACGCCCAATCAATACGTGGGACAGAAAGCCGCGAGATTCCGAGGCGCGCACCAATGTTGCAGAACCAGCTGTGCAATCAGTGCCGTCGTTGTTGTCGTTCTTATCGCATCCGCGGTCGCAAGACGCCCGAGTTTGACATGTGCGACTACTGGAGAGCCATTGGCGTTGGCTAAATCATTGCCTCTGGATGAGGCAAGGGGTGAGCTAGTCGGGACGGACTTGCCGCCTTATTCAGCGCTAGTGGGCCGTTCTTTTGCTGCAGGTGCACGCAGGTGTATCCTGGGAACTAGCCTCGCACATTGCTTTGCGCTGGGGTGAAGCAAGTCTGCTGACGCCTTGTCTCCGTGCGCACTGGTAAAGCTGCTGTTCTGGGAGGGCGGGGAAGGACAGGGATCGACTACGCGACTGTGTTGGGTTGATAAGACGAGGAAGTTGGAGGTCGGCGTGCATGGATGTGTACGTGATCTATCCGGGTAGGAGATGAAGTGATGAAATAGTTGAAGATAGTTGCGCGAGGCTGAGATGTGGCGTTCTAGCTGATTCAACGATGGTGGGGTGTCACGAGTGAAGTGAGCACGTGGAAGGCGGCCTCCGCTCCAAGGCTGCGTCTTCGTGAGGTAACCAAGTAAGGTTTCAAGCATCAACGAAGCCATGTCAACATCAACTTTCCCTATCTACGATGCTCTGCCGGACGACAGCGACCACTTGCGTCTTCTTACGGTTCATGCTGATGGCGTGTCTGAGCCTATTCGATGCACCATGCGAACTGTCAGCTTTCGCAACAAGCCTTCTTATGAAGCTCTGTCGTACACGTGGGGCGATACTGCGACGACCGAGTCAATCGAGGTTGACGGCTTTGACATTCAAGTTACTGCGAACCTCGAGCAGGCGCTGCGTCACTTACGGGATGTGGAAATCGATCTTACACTATGGGTAGACGCTGTTTGCATCAATCAATCGGATTCAGCAGAGAAGTCGCATCAAGTTGCATTCATGGGCGAGATATATCGAGACTGCGCCCAAGTACGGATCTGGTTGGGATGCGATAGCTCCAAGTGCGGCATTACACAATGCTCGTCCCAACCGAGCGACTCAGCAGACGGCAACTCTGGAACAGTGGATCCATTCGAACTTTTACGCAATCTGGCAAATGATCAACACATATACGAGTGGCCTTGCTTCCGTACCGAGAATGACTGTGGGCGCGATACAACGGTCTACGAGGTCAACCATAAGTGGATCGAAATTCGCGAAGCGTTCTTGGCTGTCATGGAAAGCCCATGGTGGTCGCGCATGTGGACAGTTCAAGAAGCGGTCTTGCCCAGGAAAGGCATATTGACCTACGATATATGGTCTACATCGCTTCAGACGATCACTGACTGTGGATTCAAAGCCTACGAACACATCGTACATTGTTGTAGGGATACTGTACTTCAGTTTCCTCCTGAATTCTACGCCTCACTGGAGAATTTCTTTTTTGTACTTCTATCCCTTGCCAACGGGCGCATAAGGTACGACAATGGCGATGTTCAGCGATTAGAATTGCAGCGACAACATGTGCAATACAGTTACCGAGAATGTCAGGACCCTCGCGACAACGTGTATGGACTCTTGGGGATTGCTGGTGATATCACTTTCGAGCCTGACTATACTTGGTCTATACATGAAGTCTTCTTGCGTGCTACATGCCACATGCTTTGTCATGAAAACGGTACATTGGGGAGCCTGACAGGACATCAGTATGGACCTGCACCGGGCAAGTGGGCATCATGGGCGCGTCAATTTGATGCACCCGTCGATATTACCTTTTCCAGTTATGCTTTGAAAAGATACTTCGCCTATCATCCGGTTCATTCCAACATTTTCGATGCCTCCGATGGTCATAAATCGAAACGCATGTTGCTTATGGCTCATTCGACACGAGGAGAATCGGAAGCGAAACACTTGGGACTTGGGATTGTAGGCAGAAGAGTTGGAAGAGTTACTTTTGTCTCACAGGAGACCTTTCTCAGTCCTATAATAAGAGACGTGAGCAGGGTTCTCAGACAGTGGACTCTAGACGCGCTCAATTGGGACGTCATGGATAGCTCAGCAGATAACCATGCCTACAACAACGCTCCTGATGATTCCAGCAAATATCCAGAGACCTCTGTCAGATTCTGGAGAACGCTGCTAGGAGGGTTAGATATACCACACAACGTACACGTTCACCCAACGGAGTGGACCAGGTTTACTCCTGCAACGATGGAATGGCTGGATGAATTTGTTTCGTGGTTTAGAGTCTATCAACCTATGGATCAGGCGCTTTTCCAGATGATCTGTGTCGCGGCATACAGAAGACGCTATTTCAAGGCGGGTGATAGTAGTCAGGGTCTCTGCTACCCGAATGCTCGTGTTGGTGACGAGGTGTGGGTATTGCATGGAGGAGATCTACCGTTCATTCTTCGACCAGTCTGTCTTGATCAAGAAGAAAGAGGGAAGCTGATACCCTTGGATGAGCAAGCCTTCATAGAAGACGGAGACTTTGTTTTCAAGGAAGATTGCCAGCCTGCCAAAGCACCTGACGGATACTACGAGCTTGTTGGAGACTGTTATTTTGACGAGTTTATGCATGGCGAAGCAATGCACGACGCCGCGTTCCAGGACCAGACTATCGTGTTGGTGTGAACATTGGAGGGATTGCAAAGCATGAGGCGACGTCTCAGGGACTGGCTAGTCGCTCTATCTCAAAGCCGTATATATGTCAGCAAGTGGTAGTGGGTACAGTGAATGCAGTGGCTTTTCTGGCGCAAAGCAAAAGACTTGAGCAGTAGTGGTTAATGCAAAGGTCAGCTTGAGCCCATGATCCCCCCCCCCCCTTCATAGATATACTGCTCGCTTATGTACACAAGCCGACCGGGCCGCAACGCGAATCGATCCTATCCTCCGTCTCCTGTCAAATCAATCAACATTCTACTGCATCAGCCTATAATGGCCAGCTCTCGCAGCGACCGAAACACGGCCCCGGCACCAAAGGGCATTAACGTCATCGTTGATCAGTACTCATCACCAACTGTTGCTTTATCCTCAACCGCGAACGAACACCAGCCACACCAGCCACACGAGACTTCTCTATCTGGTGACGAACATGCGTGTCTGAGCATCCCCTCATCACCGCCGCAATATACGACTTCGTTATCTAATTGCAGACTTGTCAACAATCAAGCTAGCTTAATCGCTATTAAGCTAGCGCATTAAGCTAGCTATTAATTAAGCTAAGCTAGAGTATAGATATAAATTAATTAAGCTAAGCTACTATAAGCTAGCTTACTTATTTAGCTTAATTAGCTTAATTAGCTAAGGCCTATACGTAAAGTTATTAAGTTTGCTATAGCAGTAATCTTATAATAATTTTCTAGTATTAAGGTTAGCAACTAAAATATAAAAAAAAAATCCTAATAACGCTGTATATATATATATATATATATAAAGGACTTTATAATATAGCTATTACTATTATAATTTAAATATAATATAAAAAAAGACTTTAAATATAGCTATAAGTAAGTTAATATTACTTAAAGCGCTTAAGTAATATTAACTTACTAGTATCTATAGCTTAAAGTCTTTTATAGCTATTATATACTTCTACTATACTTACTAAGTATAGTAAAGATAATTATAAGTCTAATATTACTATATATAACTATCTATAGTATTAAAGTTATAGTTATAAGTAAAAGTAGATATAGTAAGTATAAATTATAAAAAAACTTATAATTTTAACTATATAATTATATAACTATAATATAATATTTATAGTATTTTATACTATATATTATTATATAGGGTTTAGCTATACTTCTCTAAGCTTAGTCTATACTAAAGTAAAATAAGCTAAAGTAGTAGTTTATAAAGTATTATATAGAAGATTAAGTAGAAAAGAGTTATTATTATTAACTAAGAGGTAATAATACTAATTCTATAAATAATAGAATAACTAGTTAATAATCTATATAAGAGATAAACTATTTAAGTTAACTATAATAAGTATAATAATAAAATCTATCTATACTATATACTTACTATAATCTATTCTTACTATCCTCTCTATCTCTTCTTTAAGAGATAGTTATAATAGCGCTGCTATCTTAAAGAATCTTACTATTCTAGATACTAGTTTTTAGTAGGATATCTAATTACGTAACTTAGTAAGCTCTACACTAGTTACCTTTTATTTATTAACGCTTATTAAGAGGTGTTTAGTCCTAATTTCCTTAAAAAGAGGGGATTTTTTTTATATATAATATATATTTTATAAATAAACTATAGTAATTTAACTACTACTATTAAATTTAATTAATTATTATATTATAGTAGTTACTTTTAGTAGTTATAATAGAGAGTACTAAGTAATATATTTTATATTACTTAGTTAACTATTTTATATTATAATTATATAACTCTATATATATAACGCTACTTATAATATATATTTTTAGCTATATTACGTACTACTTACGCGCTAATTTATTACTACTAGCTTTTTATATTTATTACTATATTTTTATTATAGTTATACTATAAACAAGATGTACTATTAATTTAAATAATATACTAGTAATAAAACGTAAGTATAACACTATTAAGTTATACTATATTATATTATAGTAGAAGTATATTTCTAAATACTTACTTAGCTTTACTATATATAGCTATAT